TCCGGCCCCCGGCCCGAGTCCGGCTCCCGGGGGTGCTCCGCCGTCTCCCGAGTCCGGCTCCCGGGGGTGCTCCGCCGTCTCCCGAGTCCGGCTCCCGGGGGTGCTCCGCCGTCTCCGGAGTCCGGCCTCCAGAGGTGACCCGCCGTCGCCGGCTCCCGCCCCCGCCATCGCCGGCTCCCGGCCCCAGCCCGGCCTCCAGAGGGGACCCGCCTTCTTCGTCTCCGTCTCCGGGCCTCCTGGTGCCCATCACTCCACCACCTTCCCTAATAAATCCTGTTTCCTTTAGCCCTTCTCCCTTTTCGTTTGGGTCCACCCACACAGTCACTGAGCACGAACCGTCACAATAGTCATCCAACATGGTGCATGACGAAATTTAAGATGGCTGCCATATTAAGGTGCATTGAAAATACAAACATAATAGACATAATAACAAAAACAATATACAAGTGACATAAAAACAATATACAAGTTATGAGTCCAACTTCAGACAAAAACATAAATCTAAAATTACATATATTTACCTGTGTGCTGTATATGATGCAACCTATGATAAAAGCAAAAACACACAAATCAGTAAATGATGTGGATTTTTCTCAAATTAATTTCATTCATTTCAATGATAAGGTGGAATTATAAGACAATTACAAAAAGACACGAATATGACTCTTGATTCTCACTATACTGTATGGCGACTTCACAAGAATCAGCTTTTCACACATTTTATTCTCAGTGTACAGACCTCTCACCTGGATATCGACACAATAAACACAAATTTGTGGAGCTCTCCCACAAAACAGAGACAGATTCTTGTCACGGTCACAGAAATGTTCACAATAAAACCAAATTAGAGTTACTTATTTTTTTTAATCAATTTTTTCCCCACCAATGTTAAAATGATTTGCATCAGCTTTTGCCAATCAAAGACACAAAATAATCAAATGCATCATTGTTATATTATTTTTATATTTGCATTATTTTGTGCCTGTGTCAGCAATTGCAGATAAAACTGGGCTCAAACAACCACATTTATGTGACAATCCCAAATTTTACTAAGAATATTTTATATGAGACCAAACAACTGGCAGCCACAAACCACACTGAGACTTTATTATGTCAATTAGTGTTAGCTTCAGTTTGCGGTGGCAATTATTGCTACAGATCAGTGTTTTTCCTGCATAGAGGAATATACTGCAACCCCCCAAAGAGGTCATAGTCATCGCCAAAATGATAAGAACTGAGAGTGAAAAAAATTACTTATTTAACCAGTTTTAAAACGTGATAGACATTTTTGTTTATCAAATGGTCCGAAATCACACTTAAGCTTGTAGACTTCTGCTACATAACACCTTCATTTGCCGTTATTGTCCCCAGACGGCTCATTCTGAGTCAGAACAAAACCCTAAATTATATAAACAGTGTGTGACACTGGGTGAAAAAAAAAAACCCGAAGCCACCACTGAACACAATAAGAGTTATTGATCTAAATTCTGTGTATGTTGTTGTCATTCTCTCACCAGGTGGTATGTGCTGGGATAAGGCCGTTTTAGTGTATGTGATGGATGAAGCTGTGTGAACTGAAACTGTAGCCATGGCCAAGTCCAGTCTCGTAAACCTGGAACACCAAGACATGTGGAATTAAATCACTTATCCATAATTCATCTATTTATGTAGCCTCTTAAACATCTGGAATACTTAGGTGTGAACTCACAGTGTCTTGTACGATGAACAGGAAAGGTTTCCCTTATAGAAGAAAGAAAACAAACATCAGTACTTTAACAAACAGAGAACAGTGAGAATCCAAAATGATAAGGATTTACTCTCAATACCTGTGGACTGAATGTGACGAGATAAGACAGAAACTCTGAGAATTTCTTTTCATCAGGAGACTCGGTGAAGTAATCAAAGAGCCTGTCGATAATGACATCTTTTTGTGGCAGGTTGGGAAACGGCTGCACCACCAGCTCTGCACTCTGCTTTGGAGTCAGGAAAGGTATGACCTCCAGCTGCAAGCAACAAAGTTCACAGTTATTTGTAATGACAACATACTGGACAGCAAAAAAAAAAATTCCCCATCATTAACTGAAATCTGATCTCACAGGGTTGAATTGCGGGTTGAGGTTGAACAGCTCTTTGAGCGACAACAGAGCTGAAAATGGACCCAGATTCCTCTTGAGCCACTCGGCGCTGGTGTTGGAGGCAGACACACAGCCTGGATCTGCAGCAAGCCGAGAAGAGGGAGAAACATCTGTAAATGCTAACACATTTGAAAACTTTTCAGTCCATCTCAGAAATATGAGCGGTGGGAGTACCTGAGCGTGGCTGCTGCAGGACACGGAGGATGAAACTCTTTAGGACCATGTCCCGCTGTCTTGTGGTCATGTTCTCAAAGTGCTGAATAAATGCTGGCAGTCTGACATGAAAATCAAAGGCAGAAATAAAGACACGATTTTCACATGATGATGACTAATAAGCTACAGTTGGTAGCACTGTTGCCTCGCAGCAAGAAGGTCACCGGTTCCCGTCCCGGTGAGGACACCCGGGATCTTTCTGCGTGGAGTTTGCATGTTCTCCCCGTGCAGCGTGGGTTCTCTCCGGGTTCTGCGGCTTCCTCCCACACAGTCCAAAAACATGTTGAGGTTGATTGGTGATTCTAAATTGTCCGTAGGTGTGAATGTGAGTGTGCTTGGTTGTCTGTCTCTAAGTGTAGCCCTGTGATAGACTGGTGACCTAGACTCCAGCCACCCCGTGACTCTAGTGAGGATTAAGCGTTGTTTAGATAATGGATGGATTGATATATTTTATTCTGACGATTCCTAACGTAAGGATCAATCTCTTCAAAGAGAAAAAGTTGTGCAAAACAAATTTGGACTTTTCTTTGAATAATTAAAGTTATTTAAAGGAACCCATGTAAGGTGTTTAAGGAGGAAGTCCTTCTCTGGTTAAAGCTGTAGAAATCTGCAGCAACCAGTTTTTCTTTTGTTTGTTCAGTTTTATCACATGTCAAATCGGATTTAATCTTGACCAACGTAGCATATTTTATGAGTTTATCATACATTTTTTTGTTTAAAAGTTCTCTATGCAACACACACTATGAACGTCACCACAGTACCTGTATTTCAGGTCAACACAAACAACAGATTGCAACCCACACAGAAGGAGTGTCCCTTCAGTCTCTGCTAAGATCATCACTACTTCATTATGTTGTAACACAAGAGGTGGTTGTTTGTGGCTATTCCATGCTGCGCCTTTAAAATCCAAAGCAACACAAAGCTAAAACTGTCAATTTAATAGAGGGGAGGAAACATTTTTCACCTCTGTAAGATAGGAAAAATTCAAAAATGCACTTAAGCCACTACAGTTATTGCTTTCATGGTAATCTATCCAAAGATTGTCAAATTTTTGTAAAAGGCCTCAATGAGCTGCTGCTTTCTATGTCTTTTAATGTCACTAAAAACTACAAGAATAAATAGATGAAAGTTTGATGGAAGTGTGGTATTTAGAGCCTAAAACAGCAAAAATTAGGCGGATGTAGGAGTAAAGTGTGACATACACAGCACGCATGTTGTTGAGCTGCAGGACATGTTTTGGCAGTGTGTCGACAAACACTTACATTTGCTGGTATGACTGACAGCTCAGGTTCTTGTTGCTCAAACAGCGCAGAAACCCTCCTGAAGCAGACGGCAAGAAGCGGCTCAGACGGCCTGAGAACCACAGCCTGATCACGCTGCTGTTCATCAGCTGCTCGTCAGTCAGCCTCGACACTCTAATCTCTCCGATCACGTCCAAAATCTCCACCGCTGATGGAATAACCACTGGCATGGACTGCAGAAGAGATCAGTCACTTAGAAATAGACACACTTCACACTTTTTGTACATCCCTTTAATAAGACTGACAAGAAGTTGAGGATGTGACAGTTCTGTGTTTCAGCTTAATAAAGCCACTGACCATGTCACTCAGAATGTCCAGAGCTGGGTCCAAAACAGAAGAAACTTTAGTGAGCAGCATCTTCCACAGCACTCTGGAGCGGCTGCTGTTTCCAGGCAGATTGCACTTCAGCAGCGACACCAGCTGATCGGCCGTGAAGTTCTCCAGCTGCACATGCGAAGGAGTCACAGGTCATTTTCTGAAATAAATCCTAATATTCATACTCAGACTATTTTAAAAGAGACAGTCACCTGTGCACAAGCGTATTTCTCCAAGGTAACATTGCAGGGAACTGGCATGGATGTGTTTAAGTAGGATTGTAGATCAGAGCTGTAAGTAAAGAAGCAAATGCACTCCAATATAAAGATAATCAGAATCATTTGTACTATTTTGGATATAAATAATAGGAAAATGGTATACCTGTTGACTCCTTTGCAGATGTTAGTTTCTGTCAAACAGCAGAGAAGAAAGCTCTCAAATGTCGAACGATTTTATGTGTAACTATGGAAACATACTGAGCAACAAACTGAGACTGTGTAGTGAACCATCAAAAGACTCTTACCATTGAACTGGGTTACTGGACACTGTGAATGATAGGTGGAACAGATGTCAAAAAAATGTTTTTGGATAGTACCCGTAACATTGAAACAACACAAACTACACTTGAATAGCTTCCACATGAAATATAAGTGAAGCAAATATAAGTTAATCTCACCGTGAGGTTGTCAGGCACACACTCTGTCCAAATCAAAACAAAAGAAGTATTTAGTCAACTATAGGATGAACACAATAACAGCTGGAATACATATTTATAAATGTGATTTGAAAAGCAGACTTTATCATGACAGCCAGGTTAAATAAAAGAGATAATCATATGTTTTTGTGCATTCGGTCTTACAGAGTGTGTGTGTGTGTGTGTGTGTGTGTGTGTGTGTGTGTGAGGCAGACACACTCACCTATTGGTGCAACATTTATCAGGTCATCAATGCCAGCCCAAGTTTCAGATTCCACGTCTGGAGGCAAAGCTGGCATTGCTTTCTGCAGTCGCTCCAAACTAAAACACAGACCACAAACATTTTTTAAAATGTAAAGTATTTAGAGAGCTTACAACACAACCAGCAGAGCTACAGAGTCCACTGAATTCGTTATTTAAAAAAATAGAAAACTGTCCAAAACGGTCCTCTGTCCAAATGTGAGAAAAAAAAGTATTTAGTAAAATACTGTCAGTACCAAAATGCTTAGCCTGTTTTTTTTTGCCATCTGACAGCTAAAGTGACAGATAATAATGGTCAGTGATAAGGCTGCTAATAGGAAGTGGTTTATGCAGTGCGGTTTTGTGGAGTCTTTGAAAAACTGGAAAAATGTTAATATCCAATTTTAGTATCAGTCAATGTGATTGAACACTTTTGTAATTTTGCTTGTTCAATAACATTAAAATTATACATGCTTGTTTTTTTATTGTTTAAGTAACTATAATATATATATAGTTTATTTTTTTCTTTCTAGTTCCTGTATTGATTAATAATGGTTCATCTTTAGCCATCATTACAATGCAGCACTGTGTGATGTTATTAGATTTTTCTGTGTTGTACTTCTTCACAAAGAAATACAATTCGTCTTGAATGAATGACCGACTGCTGTGCTACGTTATAAAACCGTCAGAAAGTACTCACATTTGTTTGTAGACATCACAGGGAGGCTTGACCTAAAAAATGTAATATTTTACAATTAGTCATCCTGGACGGTTAGAGATTGATGAACAACTGAATCCTACCCGAAGCTGTTACCTTTTCAGCGAGCCGGACCACAAAGTGCAGGACCTCTGGTAATTTCCTGAGCTCAGTGGACTCCAAGAGGAAGTCAAACACTCCGTCGATAACAACGTCTCTCTGTGGTGGAGTAGGAAGAGGCAGCACCAGCATCTCTGCTGTTTGGTTTGGAGACAGGAGACGTAGAACCTCCAGCTGAGCGGGACCCCAAAAGAGAGGAGAGAATATATTAATCACAGCAAACTTAATGCTTCACTTAAGTCCACTGTAAATGAGGACATTAAGCATGTAGATGTTTTCCAGACTTACTCCAGAGAACCTTGGGTTGAGTCGGTAGAAGTCAGTGATGGAGGCGAATCTTGAGAAGTAACCAAAATTTTTTTCCAGCCATTCTGCACTGTTATTGGCTGAAGAGACACACTGAGGGTCTGTGACAAAAAATGCATGTAAATATATGTAATGCGCAAAGTGTTATCACTTTTTCTGCATGTTGTTATTTTATTCATAGTAGGAAAAAACAAATAACACTTATTAAAGAATGATGTTAATTGACTAAAGTACTACACTTGAGGTAATTCCACATTATATGATTATACGATTCTATTTTGAAAGTTAATATCACAAGTTGCATTCTAACTTCAAATGTCTGATATAAAACAAACACTTTAATCAATTATACAACACACCATGAAATAGGTTCAAATACCTTGATCTTGACCTGCTGCTAAAACATTAAAATACTGCTTAATTATCTTGAGATAAACTATTGCTGCTTGTGATTCACTCAAACGTTTTTCAGCATTTAATACTTTTACTGTTGATATTAAAAGTAAATATAACGATAATACCTCTTTACTTCTATTTACACAACATTTTTAAAGTAGGACTTTTACTCGTAGTGGAGTATTTGTACTAAAATGCTCTAAGTTCGGCATATTTGTAGTAATTTTTGCATTTTATCGGTTGTTTGTAAGATTTTTCTCCTTCTGTTTTGTAATATGTCATGTGAAGATGTTTATTTTGTTGCGGACAAGAAAATTTAACTTTAAATGTATAAGACAATAATTGTGCTGTTTTAATGTACTGCTGCATCAGTTTGCTTACCAGAGGTGTTGTGATGCAGCAGGAAGGGATAGATGAAGTACTCATAGATGTTTTGAGTGTACATTGGATCAACATCCATAACACTCATGTATCTGCTTAAAGCTGCCACACTGTGCAAGACAGGACAGAGACAAAATGAGACCAACAACATGAAACCACGCCTCTGCAAAAACAGCGAAATCGTCTCAAACCTGTAAACTCACATGGTTTGGTAAGTGGGGCAGGAGAAGTTCTTGGTGCTGAGGCAGGAGAGGAGGTCTGGGTGTATGTCAGGCAGGAGCGGCAGCACTTTGATCTGGAACCAGAGCTCGATGAAGTCCGGGTCCTCCAGGTGTTCCTGGGCCAGAGACGGAGACTCCGGCTCATGAAAGATCTGGCGAAATTCAGACGCCACCTCTGTGAAGTTCTACATGACAGGAAGAGAAAGGAAACACTGATTCAGTTTTTGTTTTTTGTTGGAACTGTGACATGTGTAGGTAAAACACACAAGCCTGCTTATGGCGTTCATATCAGGTCACAGTAAAGACGTCTGACAGATAAGAGTGGGTAAGATACTCACTGCGGTGGACAACTCTTTGATCAGTGAGTTCAGACGCTTGGTCAGCTCTTCTATTAGTCTCATGACCGTCTCCTCAGTCATTGTCAGGTTCGTACGGGCAGCACATTGCAGAACATGGGCCACATTTTTCACTGTGTTAGTCAGCTGGTTGTGTGAAAACAAAACAATGATGGCTTTAGAAGGTGATGGGGGTGTCAGCTTTCCAAGAAAAATGCATAACAGACTTTGACATCCAGGAAGGGATCATAAAAATGTTTTGCAACTCATAAATAAAGTGAAATCTCACCATGCAAGGGTTCTTATCAAGGGTGACGCTACAGACATCCTGGATTTCAGAGGGTTCGTCACCCTTACCATGGTCCAAATAGCTGCACAAAAAGAAAGGTAAGTAAACTGGTCCACTAATTCACATTAATATATTTTTATTGTATAAAATTACATGTTAAACATATCAGCCCGAACCCCCATCAGTTAATTTTTTCTATCACCACTGAATCCTGAAGTTCTTATACAGTATGCAACACCCCTGTGTTTTAAGTTGATAGAGTATTTTTTCTTATAAACAATCAAAAACAGATACTTTAGAAAGCCAATGTTGAACCAAAGAAGAAACATAACATCTCAGGATGACAAATTCTGACATCAGGGGTTCAGTGTTATCTTGACTTACAACACTTTGTGAAAAGCGAGTGTGACGTTATCATGCATCAGCATTGCGTCATCCGGCAAGAACCTCCGCAACAGTGGCATCACAACTTGTTGGTACCAGTCCTCCACATTCATCAAGTCAAACTTTGGCATCTCTGGGAGTGCGGTTGTGTTTGGCGGCCGATACATGTCTGCCAGTTCAGCCAGAGTCCAGTTGAGCAGGAACTGAGTCAGAGTGGTGCTTCTCATTTCGGACACATCCCTCTGGAAAAACACACCAGGTCAGGATTCATACTTGTTCGGCCGTACTGTGTCCTGCATCTGACTTTATGTTGTGGGGCAGCATGTGTGTGAGTGCACGTTGTACCTCTTGTGTGAAGGACACGAAGTCATGAACGAAGCTCCCAATAGGTTTGAAAGCCGTCATCACTCCCTTCAAAACCTGTGACAAAAGACGACAGGTCGTATAAAATTAGATGCGACAACTTTAGGTGGGAATGGAAACTTCTTAATATCCTAAGTGTGATTATCCCTTTGTATTTCTGTGTTTATGTCTTGAATCCTGTGCTGTAAAACAATATAAATGGAATTGACTCAAATCAACTCATCTTGTCTCGTTCACCTAATCTAAATAGTTTTGCTAATTTCTAGTCAATTGACTGTGAAATATTTGTGTTTGTATTTTCAGACCACATTAGAAGTGAAAAAGAGTTTTTATAACATGAGCTATTTTTGAGTAAAAATAAAGAGTCAAGTGAATGAGCAGCTGAGAGTTTAATCAACTCATTAAATTCAGTTTATATAAAACAAAACAGACAGGTGCTATTAGAGGGTTAAAACTCCCCAGAGACACTTGATTTTTGTAGTTTGAGAAAACAGACATGGTGGAAATTTGCTTTGTATCCTTGTTAAATTAAGTTACAGTTGTTTCATCTTCACAATAATCAAAACAGTTCTGATCATGACACAGGTTACTACTGAATTCAGTTCCTACACTCGTAAATTGAACTCACTCTAACTGCCTGCGATTAGCGTGAACTTTTTCAACTTAAAAAATGTAAAAAGAAATCAAGTCTCTCTGTACTTATTGTTCAAGTGACTACTGAATTCAACTTAATATCTTAAGTTTATTGAACTTATTTTTTGTAGTTTGGCTAATTTAAGCTAAACCACTACCAAAGTGCAGTGAATTCACATCACTAAGGCAGCAGAGGAACTTACTTTTATTTGCTGAAACAACTTTAAATGATTTACAATGTGCGTTATTTGATTTATTGGGCCATTTGGGGGCAGAACTGTAAATCATAAACAGAGCAACTGGCCTAGTTTTGCCATATTAAGTTAATAAACATGTTAGAAAACACATTTATTAACGCTTCCATCTGTAATTGTGTCCACTTGATGAACATATTGTATTGGGTGCATTGAAAACTTTGAGAGTAGATCGTGTAGCCTAAAATAATTCAGACTCTAAATTCTTTCTAAATTGTAAAACAGTTGATAGGCGACTCTATAGCTGTTTATCTAAGTACTTAAATACATCCTACTACAGTACCTTTCTGAGGGTGTACTGTGGAGACGGTGGGTATGGCTTATATGTAGGTTGTGGAGGATAGGAGGGTGAGACAGATGGGTATCTGGGGCTTGTGTAGGTGGAGCCCCCTCCGGGAGTCGTCCAGTTCTGGCCCCATCCAGGAGTCGTCCAGTTCTGACCCCCTCCAGGAGTCGTCCAGTTCTGGCCCCATCCAGGAGTTGTCCAGTTCTGGCCCCATCCAGGAGTCGTCCAGTTCTGACCCCATCCAGGAGTCGTCCAGTTCTGACCCCATCCAGGAGTCGTCCAGTTCTGGCTCCATCCAGGAGTCGTCCAGTTCTGGCCCCATCCAGGAGTCGTCCAGTTCTGGCCCCATCCAGGAGTCGTCCAGTTCTGGCCCCATCCAGGCATAGCAGTGGGTGGAGGGCCAGAGCCTCCTGTCAGCAAACTGTGGAAGACCAGGGATAAGGTGCCGTTGTCTAAACCTGCGACTTCAGGCCTCAAAAGCAGTTCAGCCTTTTGTTCTGGGGTCAACAGGTGAAGAACCTTCAGCTGTGTCAGAAAAGAGATGAGGAGTAACAGAAGGAGAACAGGAGAGTCAGACCAAGAGGCAGCAGCATGAAAAAGCAATAATGTGAATGTGAATAATAATGAAACTTTTCCTCCATTTCGTACAACTTTAAAACTTCTGCTAAGTGTTTCTGGAGATCACCTAGCATAAAAGCCCTTACAGAAGAGACAGTTTAACTCACTCCACTGAAGACCATGTTGAGTGTTGAAAGGTCCTTCATTCGAGCCATGGCTCTGAATGAACCAAAATTCTTCATCAGCCACTCCTCACTGCTCTCATCTGGACTCACACAACCTGGAAGAGATTTCAGTAAAAAAATTTAGGCTAAAGAACAACTGATTGGTTGTGATGCTGTCAAAAATGTACCTGTTTATAAAGCACATCAAAGCAAGAGTGTGCACCTATATTTGCTGGTTCAAAACTCATTTATCATCATAGACTGCGCTGTATACAATTTTGGGCAAAAAACGTCCTTTTTTTTAAAACTGCTTTTCCTACTTATTTAGGGTATTCTTTATCAACATTTTGCACAAAGCAAACTTTTAATGACGAGGTAAAAGTCTTTTTTAAATCAATATCTCAAAGTCATATTTCTGTTAAAAATGAAGCTGTTGTTGTATTTTTATCCATTCTGTGTACCCATTTATACCCAGCTGTGTTACAACCATATTTTGATGATACGGACATATTCCCTTTGATATATGTGGCTCTACAACAACATCATACATGTAAATAGTTATATAGGTTTAAGGTGGAGTCCAGTGAGATTTTAAACAGTTAATCTGAGCACAGAAAGCCAACGTCTTTGAACTGGACTCAATAATTATGGCAGCAAACATTCAAAACGATGATAATTGATGATAATTAGGATGTTTTGTCTCTGAATTGTTATTCTTTATTTTCCGTTCAGGGATTCTTTCTTTTAGTCTCATCCTTTATTTGAATTCTTTATTGCACAGCAGGATTTTTACCTCTGGCTCACAAATATGGCACTTTGTGGTGAACGTATTAAATAAACATGAGGCCTTTTAGTGATTAATATCACAACCTGAGAGGACCATGACACAAATGGAGGTTTTTAATTTATTAAGAGTTATAATTAAGAGAAATTAAAAGTTTACCAGCAATTTTGTCTCCAGACAGGAAGGGGTACATAAAGAACATGTAGATCCACTTTTGTCTGACTGGATCCATCTCAGAGTAATGGTGGCTGAGCTCCCGCACTCTGCAACAAGAAATGGGTCATTGAAAAGTCACTGTTAAACAGCTGCAATCACAGAAACACACAGAAAGACATGGACAGAGATACATACACAGTCTGGTAGGTGGTGCAGCTGAAGTTCTTGGTACTGAGGCAGGTCAGGAACTGTTTGGTGATAGATTTCAGCAGCGGTTTCATCTTGACCTCCAGCCACATCTGGACCAAGGCTTCGTTCTGGAGAGGGTCCGCGTCCAAGTTTAACTGAAGCTCCCCCTGCAGGCTCAGAAGTGGAACGCCTTTCACGCTGGATTTCTGTGATAGCAGCGACAGAAGAGTGTAAAAAATCGTTAGAATGGAATGACGAGGAAGAAGAAAGAATTGTACACAACGTGGATCTATTTGTTTCACTAAAGAGCTAACAAACATGTGGACAAACACATTTAACTTGTGACATTTAACCCTTGGCAATAAAAACAGTATTTATAAAAGATTTAAAGTCAGAGGACTTCAAGTACTTTAAGCAACAATCTGGAGAGTCTGATGTTCACAACATGAGAAAAAACAAGCACAGCATTACAGCACTATGTGGTCAGGCAGGAATTTGTGACCACATTCTTGGTATTGTGCGGCTGCTGAAGCCATACCATGAAGGTGTACATATCCATCGTCGCCTCAAGCATTGCTTTCAGTCTGCGCATGTGGTCCGGCCCCGTGTCTGCTGACGGCAGTCCCACACACTGGAGGAAGCGTGAGGTCGGATCTGGCACCTTGGAATTTATGACAAGCAGAAAACTTGAGTGACATGGAAACAGTTTGACAACTTCTAAAACAATTTAAAATACGACTTCAAGCTTTGTTGGAATGTAATGCTGGTTTTTTATGCTGTAGACATTTGCAGACGACAGAAGCTGCATCAGAGCTTGTAAAAATTCAATGTGCTATTTTATAGGTTTGTATTCTTATATAGGTCTCGGCTGCTTTGGTATACAAGCAGACTGCATTCACAAAAGAGAAAAAAATTACTCCTGAGCGTGTCATTATAATCTGTTATCTTGTAGTCATGACATCAGGGTCTCAGGGATCATCAGGTGATCAGTGACAGTTGTCATTGCATAAAGTGGTACACAGCAGAAAGGAATTTTATTTTTTAATCTTAACAAATAGAAATTTAAAAACAAAAAACAAAAAACAGGGCTGATGTTGCTGATCTCCATCTGTGGTGGAGGCCCAGAGTGAGGCACACTGTACCCACAACAACACTACATTTCCTGTTTTATGTAAAGGTTTCCACTGTTCCTACAACAAAAGGCTTTTAACTTCAGGTTCCAGAATTCATTTATAAACACTGTTTTCAACTTTTCTCATGATTAGATCCCATAGTTATGATAACAAAATCTCATAATGAACTTTATTGGCTTTGCGAATGTAATGTGTCTGTAGTTCTCAGGTTGCTAACCTGCTGCTAAAAAAAATGTTTGTAAAGCAGTTTATGTGTACCAAGGCCTGGGTCCTACCCAAAACAGCTGCCCTGTTCTGGTAGATTTATCTGATATGAGGTTAGAATCAGCATTATGTCAGCATGACTTGGATTGTATTTGTAGATTTGTAGTTAGTCTAGTTAGTAAAGGCAAATTATGGCTGATTGGGCCAAAACGTGGCTGCAAGTTCAGCTAGATTTGAGCAGACACTCGAAATCTGTAACAGAGCCGATGTTTGTATATAATTCATTACATATTTGGCAATCAGCATTCTTAATTGAATTACAAGTTCCCTCAATACACTGCCAAACATGTTCACAGTAATAATGTAAAAATAAGTATGAACAAGTTGCAACGTGACCTTTAACAATCTCACTGATTCTTAACTGGACAAACTGGTCTTCATGACAAGCACATTCTTTTTGGTTGGTATTTTGTCCACACCTGAGGACTATCAAATGTTTTCACAATGTCTGCTCTGCTATAAGTTGACAAGATCTAAAGTGATAAATGACATGTGAACAAAGTGCAAACCACGTTGATCCTGCTGGTATGTGCTTTGGAGTGTTCAGCGGCTACATATTTGAGCCCTGCCAAGAGTCCCGTGACAGCGACGGCCAAGACACAACCAAACCGTTACTGTGGAAGTATTGTGGTTGCTCAGTAGTTACACTGCTGACTGCAGCTGAATATGATTCCTCGTTCTCTCTGAAGACATATTGTACATTTTCCTCATATTTAAAAAAAAAAAGAAAAAGAAAAATCATACTACGTGATTCTGTCACAGAGACCAATTATTATACCTTCAAATATTCTGCTGTAGGATGACGCCACATCCTGAAGCTGCTCTGGAGACGCCAACAAAAGGCTCAACATAATACATCATCTTTAAATAACAAAAGCATACCAAATCCACAATGAATGTTGCTTGGCAACTTCCCCACTTGTTCAACGCAGGCTAATCATTTCTTGTTTCGTAACCAATCTGAGAAACTGATCAGATAAAATCTGAATGTTTGCATTTGTGGCTTCTGACGGGGATTCATTACTATCATAAATCCAGATTCATCAACAGAGACAGAGGATGTGATTTTTGAACAGTTTTGGGACCATTTTGCATCTGTGTGCAGCAACTCGATGTGTCGGCTTCACTCACCGGACCACATGTTTCTGCTGGATCACATGTTGAATTTCTGTAGATTTCCATTGGTGAGGCAATCAGACGAGCATTTGGAGATAAAAAGATGTCACAGTTCATTGCAGTTCAAACAGTGTGAAGTCTTTACAAATGGACAAGTACATTTTCTGCACCACTGGCTCTGTAATAAAATGTTATGTCTGGTTTTTTTTTAACTGAGATTTTCAACTTGTTGATCTTACCTTTGTGCTCTTGATCCCCCTGCTGGGATGAGATAGAGTTCATTGTTAGAGTCGAATGTGAGCAAAGTTATTTGGACATTTTGTTGACTAAAACAATACAAATGGATTACAGGTTTTTTTTTTGTTTTTTTAAAATTATATTTTGAAAAGCAAAAATGTGTAAGAATACAGAATACTTTGAGTAAAATTACAGTATTTAAAGTGCACTTTCTGTAAAATAATGTACTGATTACGTTTCTGTCCATATAAATACTACTACTTACCTCTTAAAAAAGAAAAAAAAAACAACCCTTTAATCACACAAGCCTAATGCCTACAAATTTCTGTCATTTTATGCACATAACGTCAGCGTAATTATTAGGAAAGATCTGTAAAATTACATCACATGTTGAGTAAAATTCAATTTATATATGAACAAATACATTCAACTGCCATTAAAAAAACCTGATAATAATAATGTCATCTAATATAATGGCTATTAGTTGTAATTTTAAGGGTTACTCTTTAAATTACAGAAAATGTCTGTTGATCCACTGTTATTACATTGTCTTTTGGAAAACAGTGACAAAGCTGTAGAAAAATACAGAAACTTGTATGTAAAATTACAGTTAAATATGTAGAAACACAATGAATTGTCTAGAAAAAACATAATTTCTATGTAATCCTAAATTATGATTAATTGATGGTAATTTTAGGAGCAAAACCTTAAAATACAAAAAAAAAAAATGTAAATCCATAGGCCTTTCCTTGTTTTATCGGAAAATGAGAAACATCTGTAAAAAATTCTAATATTTTTATCTGTAAAATTACTTCTTTTTTTTTTTTTTTTTTTTTTACAGTGTTGTCTTCCTGTATTGCTACTAATTAGTACACTCTTGCTCCAATAGTGACCTGAAAAACAAGCTCTTTTCATTTTTTGGGGGGATTCTGAGTGACTATGAACACAAGTTTTCTGCTCTGAAATGATCCTGATGTCTCTGTTTCACCTCAAATCAGAGAACAAATATTCTAAATAGGGCATAAAATGTTGTTCTTTCAGTGGTAGTTGTCATAATGTCAGCAATATGTATCTGTAATTTGCTATTTTCAACAAATCCAGAGAAAAGACCAAAAGAATTGATCCTTCCGACAAGTTTGTGTATCCAAAGACTCGCATATTTTATTCCTCTCTGTCGTAGAAACTATTAAAACACACCAAAGAGCCGCACTGTTGCGCTGCTCATTTTGATTTAATACACCCTCTCCAAACAATCAGCTGTGTATTATTCTGCAGCTGAAAACAGTCCTCAACAAAAGCACTGTTTACTCTTGTTTGAGTAACCTTTGCTCGTAAAGACAGTGCCCAGCTGTTTTCAGAAATTACGGAGTCTTTTTTTAAAAAGCTCCAACGACATATTTGTGAACCTTTTAATAACACTTACATCTCCACTAAGAACCACCGTGCTTCAGACAGGACATTAGAGATTTTGGTCCTTTCATAGAATTTGTTGACAACATAGTTTTTGAACAATACGGTTGCTGTTATTGTGTAGTTCTCTTCCTGTCCAGTGAGATCCAGTGAAAGGAGAAAAAACTAAACACTTATTCTGTCTCTCAACACTTTCTGACTTCTCTGTCAGGTTCCCAAGTAACTTTGTTCTATTGCAGACATCAATTTTACAGGTAAAGATGTGAAGTTTCATCTTTACGAGGAGCCGAGTACAACTAACAGCGGTAGTTTTAGACAACATTCATGAAACCCAGAGGTGGGAAGTAACCAAGTACAAACACTTTGTTACTGTACTTAAGTAGACTTTGCAGGTATCTGTACTTTACTTGAGTACGAATTTTTCTGACGACTTTTTACTTTCACTCCCTCCCTTTGAACACAAATATCTGGACTTTCTAGTCCTTACATTCTCAAAACTGGCTCGTTACTTGTTTCAGCCTCTGCGGATGACGACATGACGTAAAATATGTGACAACAAACGTCTTTATCTTTACCAACAGTGTGCAATTTGTCACTGAAGCTCAACACACTCCTGCCTGCCTCAGCTGTCTGCGAGAGGCTTTTTAGCAGTGCAGGACTGATTTTCAGACCCAAAAGGGGCCGTCTTCATTCAAAGAACTTTGAGAACCAGCTTCCACTGAGGCTCAATGAAAGACGTTGGTATTCTTGAAGAGACGAGTGTTTCCATGTTGATTATAATTAATGTTCATAATGTTGCTGAAATGGAAAACTGTCCAGTGATGTTTTTCTCTGTAGCAGCACTGTGCAGCTTCTTAAAGGATGAAAACAATCTATTTTGTGTGCTTAAAACTTTTTTCGTTTTGCAGAGTTATCAAAAGAGGCATCGTGTATCATCAGAGCTAAAAATTCATTTTTACTTTTGTACTTAAGTAAATTTCTGAACCTGTATTTTTTCACTTTTACTTGAGTAAAAGAGTTGAATCAGTACTTCTACTTTTACCAGAGTCTATTTTTACACAAGTATCTCTACTTCTAGTAAAGAATGTGAGTACTTTTACCATCTCTGATGAAACCAGAATAAAAAGAGCATTTGTTTGGCTGGATTAATACACATTTGGTGCTCTAGTGCACATTTACAGCAGGGAGACGATGTATGTGAGTTAATAAACTGTTGTGCTCTTGATCATAAATCCTGGTTATGAAGGAATATGTCACCCTATGCGGCTCATATTTGGAATGAAAGTCTACGACACAGAAGTATAGCCTTTAGCTACACAGACAGTACTTACAGTAGCTAGTAGGAGCTTCACTGTTGAGTTTGTTCTTTTAATAGTGTTGTTAATAATAACAAAAATATAGGCTGTTGACTGTGTCTAAGACAAAAATCTGTTCTTACCAAAGAAGCTCCCTTGTAGGTAGACCAGCAGGAATAAGTAGAGTGATCTCATAATGCGACAGGTCTCATGGGATGAGAGGGGTCTGTGTTGAAAGTCACTGGGGAGGGAAGAAGGGAAGGCAGGTTACAATCAGTCACTATTCACCAACAAGCATTACGAGACTAACAGGTGGAGTAGAAACCTGATCAGGGCATTTTATAAAACTGAAATCATATAGTCCTCTTCACCTCGATTTTAAAGTGAATAACGTAAACATTGTACGTCTAATTATGTCAGTTTGGCAACAGCAGGTACAGCACGAAACTCTTCAGATCGTTATCACAGCCGTACACAGTTTAATATATGAGATGTTGTATAAGTTCTTTTTGTTTTAAAGATAAATAAAAGGATTTAGTTCGATCATTGTTGCCCTCTTATGTGTCAGTGTTTGATGGCAGTCAGGAGTCAGGGAGTGGCTATGAGATCACTTACAATCAGTGGCAAACGGTGACCTTTAACATGGAGGCAAAACGATGATGAGACAATAGATGTACGAATGGAAAGAATGATGAAACTCTACACCATTCATTTCCACACAATGGACACAAAGGCAACAAGCACATAACCTCGCTGAAGATATATGCTGCAGAACAAAGAATATACTTTGGTTTACTGTGATACTTTTCTGACAGAACTTCCAAAGAAACTGTGTATGTTTTGAGACCAATACACTTAAAGGAAAGAGAGTTTAAGTTTTAAATGAAGAGTCGATCTCATTGTATAGCGGTGATCGTCCGATACTTATGGGGTGTAAAAAATATGTCATGCAAAGTGAAACCAAATGATGCGTAGATTCATTTCCTTACTCAATTGGCCCGAGAATCATGTTTGTGTCATATTACAAATCCTCTCCAGAGACAAGGATGCTCTCTGACAGTAGCGATATTAACACAACACCCACAAGCCACAATGAAAGAGATGCTGGTTTGTCTAATATGTCTTCCTGTACAAACTGGCCATGAAGACATGCAGACATCCAGTTAATATGAGCAGTCTCTGCTTGTCAAATCAAACATGTGAGAATCTTTGAAGTGCCTCATCCCACCTGTGACATTGGCATCACTAGAATAGATCGAGTAACTTTGTCACCAGACGTGTGTTTAAGTTGTGAGGACCAGCTTTTATCTACTTTGTTTCCACAGTGTGACCATGTCAACAGATTTATGTCCCCACAAGAGGGACTGGCCATCAGGACCACCGGGACAAATCCTGAAGGGCCGAGGACCTCTGTGGACCACATGGGCAGCTCATTATTTATCAATTTAGATATTTTAGCAGCCTGTTATACAAAAACACGAGCCAAAGAGATGTGTCATTGGCCCGTTGTGATTACGCAGCACCCGTCATCCTCCGAAGAGATCCAACTCATGATAACACGGCGCATTGTCACTCTGTGTGTGTTTTTATGTTACTTGCATAGCAAAACTACAGTCGAGTTGCAGCAACAGGCAAAGAGAAGCATGACTTGAGTTTTTTTATATGGTTAGGTCTACATATATTTCAGAAAATGCTTTAAAGCCAAAATTTCACAACAACCTTTAAACATAGGAAACTGGACTTCTGCACCTCCTCATTGGCTATTTTCAGGTTTAAAAAAAAAAAAATCTAGACTGTCACTGACACACAGGAGACTCTGAAAAGTGTTTTTAGTCTTCTCTGCGTCATTCGTTGTTATACAGATGCAGGTGCACATCCTTTTAGATGGTGGAAAGCCTGATTAAATAGCAGCAAATCCTGCAGGAAGGTCACTATTCCAGCACTGGCAACAACAATAAAAAAAAGAAGGAAAGACAGACTTATCAAAAAGAGAGTCTGACTATAAATGCAATAAAACACATCCCGGTGCAGGCAATTTGTACCTACAGGACTGCAGCTACATCCAGTAATTATTATATTCTGAGCTTGCTGTTCTTCTCCGGGACAGTTCTACTTGAATTCAATTTTATTTTATTTTATTTATATAGCGCCAATTCACAACCTATGCCATCTCATAGCACTTCACATATTTTAAACAAAGAACCCAACAATCCAAGCAAGCCGTCGGCGACGGTGGGAAGGAACCAAAACAGGAAAAAAAAAATCTCTGACAGAACCAGGCTCAGGGAAGGCGGCCATCTGCTTTGAGCGGCTGGGGTGAGCGTGGGGATGAGGGAGGCGGGGCAGAACAGGATAGCAAATAAGTTAAGCTGCTAACTTTATTTTCCTGTAATGTCATGATTGGTGATGTGGTGTGGGTAGATTTCCCATGAAAGCTGATGGTTTGTGGTTATGTTGAATACTGCTAATCCTTTAGCTTTGTGTGCTTTATTTCCTCAATCAGCACCTGGGCTCTTATTTACCTAAACTCAACAGTTCCTTTATTCTTTTTCAATTCAAATTCCCGTTTATTTTAGTAGGTAGAAACCCTTAATTTCTTAACCTTTTGAACCCCCCCCAAAAAATCTCTGATGGATTTGACAGGCCCTTTAGTGAGAAAAAAAAACAAAAAAACAAAAACGCTACAATAATCCCACTTATCAGAGCCAGATACTGTAAAAGAATCCTCAAGACAGAATCATTGCATTTTCATCTTTCCAACACACATTCTGATATTTCATCAAAATCACTTTATTCTACACATTTCATTTAAAAATGAGATGAGAATAAATAACTTGCTGGAACCAGTCTACGTAAAAAAAACAAACAAACAAACAAGAAATTCTGCACTCTCACCCACAACCCTGAAGCCATGACTGACTCAGCTGAGGCAAAAGGTCACATGACAACAATTCTTCAGATGGCTTGAACCTTGTCATACTGGGCAGTTGTGTTGTTTCTACAAAGGTGCAGGACTTTTTAATGAAGTGAAAAATGTGACAGAAGCAAAAAAAAGAATAAATAAAAAATGCCCAGAGGTTGATGAAGGTTCAGATGGTTAACAAGACTTTTATTGTAAAAGACTTACATGTGTAGTATGTGGTGGAAACTCCTAATTTGATGTTTGTTATTTATTGTTTTTGTAATATCAAAGAATTTAGTCTGTATTGTAGCAGCGAGCCAAAGATGTATGGTACTTAATTTTTTTTCATTTTTTAGATATTAGTTAAAACTTATAAGCCGACGATATCTTCGCACTAAAATCTGGTGTTTGTTTTAAATATTATTTTCATTATTATTTCATTTATAGACGAGCAACAACCATGCCAGGCGTAATGGTCTGAACCTTAGCAGCAGGATAACAATGTACAGTACGTATTTTCATTTTTTTTTAGATATTATCAGCTGTTTGTTTATTTAAATATTATTTATTGTTCAACATCAGTATCTGATGTTTGTAACTATTTATTGATTATAGACTGCAATATCCAGAAGAGTAACCCTGAAGAGTAACTCTTTCCAGTTTCAAAGGTTAATGGATAACACTGACAATGACATTTTCTGACTTTTCTTTTTCCATCAATCTATCCATCAGCTATTTATCCTGTGGAGGATTGTAGGGGCTGGAGTCCAACCCACTGGGGCACACCCCGGACAGGTCAGCCAGCCATCGTAGCATCAACACAAAGAGACAAGCAACCACACAAACCTACCAATATGGAATCACCAGTTAATCTACCGACTTGCCAACCCTGCACAGAAACACCAGACGGTTCGAACCCAAAGCCATCTTGCAGTACGCTGGATGTTCAAATACAGACGTTCCTCGCTGCACTACATGGCAGCCTCAGTCTATCATGTACCCTCACAGCAACAAAGCCTCCACTTGCTCCTAAAATAGCTCTGAATTAGTGTTACAGTAGCCTCAAGTACCCATTCACTGTGCTTTTAAAAGCTGCTGTGTTTCTATGTGCGTCAGTGGGGCAGGGGTGGTGGGGCGGCCATTTTTTTTAGTCCCAGTTTCGTGGAAGATTAGTGTGTGCACAGAAACATATACGAGTACACAGATATGCTAGGATGACAAAAAAACTAATGAGCTCTTTAAAGAAGATTTAGAGTAAACAAAACTAAAAAATTAGGTGCAGTTTATGGTTTGTTGCACATTGTATGACAATTTAAGGCCTTCATTTATGATGGCTTCTTCCGCTAAGTCAACATTTTGTGTTTCTGATGTAACATTGTCGGCTGTAAGCGCTGTTCTTGTCTGGAAAATGTTTTTTTTTTTCCAATGAATACGTACACAGCGCTCACTCACACTCATGAACTCCCTCTCAACACCCTATTGATTCTTTATTTCCTTATCGTATATTGCGACATAGATCGTTGACTTAGAATAAATAGTTGGCTTAAGTTTAAGTGTTTGCTCACGATCATTCCTCCTCCACACGATTGTAACTCTGGCAGGTGAAGGTAAACAACTCGGAGTCTTTGTGAATAATTTGCTATTTTCAAAGCTGGAGCTCAACAAAAGAGATGTGACAATATTCTCATATTTATGTTTGTCCTGGAGGGCTGGTTAAATTACAATACACAAAGTCACACAACCACGCACACTAAAAACAAAGGGGAACTAAAGGGATTTGACAAAATAAACTCAAATGAGCTCAGCAGGCAAAAAAAAATTTAGTTTTAAAATGAGTTGTACAATTTATGGGGAAGTTACCTTAAATGCCAATTTACTTGTGTACATGTTAAATTGCTAACTTTAGTGGAATTGGCTGACTTCTAATTTGGTTTTAATACAACAAATGTTTAGGATTAGACAAATAAAATCATATAAACAGCAAAATCTTACTTCAACTCTGCTACAGCTGTGGTACACTTTGCGACACATCGATTTCCTCACTACTTCATCCATGTATCTCACTACCATTAAGCCAGAGATGTACTCTTTTAATCCACTGCATGTGTAAAATCACTTTGTGAAAGATTTCCACACAAAACATATCATCAACCTTTTAATTATGATGTAGATAAAAGCATGTGAAGGTGCTAAAATTAGGTCCACGTTGATGAATTACAACATTCTGTTTACACAACAGAGCATTAAAATTAATCAGCAATAATGATCAAATAAATGTATGACACACTCCATAATCAACTCAGTGTATTCAGGGCTCCGCTGTAAAGAGAACTTTCACTGTTAATTCTCGGCACTTTGCAACATGTACAGGTCTTGAGTTATTGACCAACAGAATTAACATGTTGATGTTTGTTTTATGCGTTTTGTTTGAATCTGATATTTTTCTACTGCTGTGTTTTTAGTTAAGTTTTGAGTGTAAGTCTAGAAATGTAATATTTCTCCTTATTCTTTGTTCTAAAGGGTATTCAGAGAGTCGCTTCTTGAGTAGATTTTACTGTTTGGAACGAACAGATATGAAACCACGCAGTGAAACTCAAGTTTAATGAGGCAGAACTTATTCCCACCACTGAAATCCCCAAACAGCACGTTGTTTCCACAGTCACACAACAAAAAGAACGTTTTTTTTTGCTGCATGTTTTATAAAACAGCCCGTACACACAATTCAGCTTGTATTTGTTGTTCTGTGTTTCCTCTGATATAAGGAGAAATATCAATGATTTAAAATACATCCATCTATGAGAGATACATGTAGAGATAAGATTTAAAATGGATAATGACTTCCTTGAAGTTACAGTGAGAGTCCAGGTTGGAAATAAAATGGCAAAATGTCATAAAAATCAAAGCTAAATCTCTTACCGAATCTTGTTTGTAGCTCAAGTCCTTCGGGTGCTGTGAAGAGCTGGCGTTAAACACTGTCTCTCTCCTGACACCTGAGACTCAGGTGCACCACTGTAGGGTGTGTTGCCTTGTGACGACGACTCCTCCGCGCTGCACAAGGGGGCAGAACTAAGCAGGTTCCTCTTCCACAGGTGTGTATCCAACTGCAGCTGGCGTGCACGTGTTTGTGTGTGTGCACGTGTTTGTGTGTGTGCGCTCAGCATTTTAGATTATGAAAGCCTGTGTGAAAGAGAGCAAGAAAAGGGGTAAAAAAAAAAACAAAAGAAAATGTATGAAGTTACACCCGATTCATGTTCAACAGGTTATACCTCCACAGTATTTGTTTCTGGATATATAAGCCTTTGGTTATAGATATAATAAAACAATACTTATAATGAATCATGCGGTGTTTAACTTAGAGATCAACCAAGAATTTACTTTGGATTTACTTTGAATGCTAAACAGCTTGTCAAGGATGCTTTTTTTTCTTTTCTTTTCTGCACCACACCCAACACGGTCGTCATGTGTGGACACCAAAAATAGGGGTTGACTGTAAACAGCTCTGCCACCAGTGAAAAATATGTTAAAATAGATGTTATCTCCTTTAAGGCTCTAAAGCGATAGATTTCCTCAATATATATTCTTTAACTAATTCAGGGAGCTCTGTCAATTTTCCTTAATAAAAAATAAAAAGTAAATAAGTCACTGTAAAAATCAAACTGTACAGTAAATGTCACAATGACAGACAGGAAACAAGTGATTCTGCGCACGCACGCACACACGCTGATCAAGTCGAACTGGTTTTCTAATCACGTTTTCTAAAAATGAATTGAATTCAGCGTGGCAGGCTATTCATTCAGAGTCGGTGGCGGCTGACAAGAATAGAGAAGTACATACAAAAGCCCAGCAACTCATAAAACTCAGAAGTACATATATTCACAGTTTGATAAGGAGGAAGGAATTCAAAGCAGTATGTTCACAACCACATCACTCTTGCAGCATAACTCTCATGACAGTCTGTCAGCCAGAGGGCATCTGAGTTCTCATACCAACACAATACTTTAAACACTTCATCTTATTATTTCTTCAGTTACACACCAGCCATATTGTCTTTCAACAAATTCCCAAATGTGTAGCTGAGAAGAAACATTTTGTGTCTCTTTGCACTTTGCAGATATTAAACCTAAAGCTGCTCTAATCCATACCTGTATTTTGAAAGAAGCAGTTTGACATTTTGGGAAACATGCTTCAAGGTTCTGGTGGAGAGCAAGATTAACATCATTCACACTAAATGCAAAGCTACCATTACCAGCTAGTTAGCTTAGCTTAGCATAAAGACTGGAAATAGCAGAAAAGACCTGAAAAAAACACGTTTGTTGAAACCCAAATTGGAATGTAAACGGAACAAGTTAAGATTTCATTTTACATCCTTTTTTCTTGGATAATCGTAACAATAACTGGAATCTCCACTTGCTGCCTGGCAAAAGATCAGAGCCAGGAAATAAAAAAATGTCTAAGAAATGGAGACTTGATTTTCCACTTAGGTTTTTATTACAGTATATCCCCTTATTGAGACAGGTTGACATTCATATTGTCATAAGTCATTTTTGGACCCTTCAGTGCCTTCTACCTGGCCTACTATCATATGAATATATCTTGTCATAACAATGAACCTTTCAAGTTATAACCTGCTGCTGATCTGTGTTTGTGGTGTTGCTTTCTTTGGACAGAGGCAGCCTTGGTGTCAGTTTTGCGATGCTATGTGAGCTGTGCTGCGTATTTTAGCTCCCTGCAGCTTGTTGTTTTGGTTTTGAGGCCTGTCACCTTGTTTTGGTTGATATGCATCACTTTTATGAGTCAGTTCAGATGGATGTTGTCAGTGAAAAAGCTCTTAAAACCCACTACACACTGATGGCACGTACACAGAATTAGCAACTAAGGTCACTTGAACACAGCGGAGCATGTAGCAACGTATAGCTGAAAGAGAGGTGAATATTGTGGACACAACTCCACATAAATGCTGATGCTGCTCAACATCCACTGCATGTGTACAGCGGCTGAAATAAAATCTGGTTAATTGGTTAAATTATTTTTATCTAACTTTAATAGAATCAAACTGTTTTGAGGATTTCCAGTCTGAATTGATGGAGGAGGTGATGAGTAATTGCATTGTTTCAAGGAACCAAAGCTATAAAATTTTCAGAACTTATTTCAGTTGAACTTCAATGTTTATAGAAAATAGCTGTGGAGGTAGACATGTGACTCAGAGATTTGTCTGTGGCTCCTCAGCTCTCTGCATCACGAGACAGTCCCTCGACTACCTCTGCTTCATCCTCATGATTATTTCCCTGCTGTTTTCTCATTGCTGCACAGTTATCAGACTTATGTGTTGTTTTCTTCTCCAGCAGACGGTTTCCTCTTTATCTTCTGTCAAAACTTGTTTCTCCAGTGCAGTCTTTAAAATCACAAACATCTGTCTTCTGTCACTGTGTCAGTTTTTACGTGCATTTTCTAAATATTTGCCTTTTTAATTTAACTTAAAAATATATATTCAAGGTATTTGCGGTCTTTGGTCATGAAACTGTTTCATTAGATAAGTTGTCCAGGAAAGCGTAATTCTCATAATTCTCCTGGTGGCACAATAAGTTTGTAAAAGTAAAATTATTCACTTATCTGTACAATAAGGTTGGTAAAAGCAGTTAATCAGTTTTATGTCTCAGAATATGATTGTGTTTACCAAAGTTAAAACAGTTTTCACACTGTGGAGGATAAAAATTCCAAAAATAACGTCTGAACCGTCAAAAGCCCAAATTATAGAAGAAGAAGAAGAAGAAGAAGAAGATGATGATGATGATTAAAGTAGCAGTAGAAGAAGAAAACGCCTCCCCGCCAGGAGGCACTGTGGGATTTGTGTCGACTTAATCCGTCTTCCGGTTTTATGTCAACGGTTTGACCCAAACAACCGCCGGTGAACGCTCACATGTGAGGAGGAACTTGTAGGACTGCTGTGTTTCGTGTTACCGTCTTGCTGTTGCCGGTTTGGATGTTGTGTCGCATGTTGTGTCACCGACACTGGCAGCTAGCTCGTTAGCTAGCTAGTCGAGCAACTAACTCCACATGATGCTGTTCATGTCACCGGTGTGACCCACAGGACGTGTGTCTCGGCGTTAAAATAAATTATAGCACGTTTTGCCACCATGTCGCCGTGGTTGAATTCTTGTCAGCGGCGTTTCCTGCACAGCTTGGTCCTTCACAGAGGGTTTCGCTGCCTGACAGCGGTCACAAACAGACGGGCTGAGCTTCAGCTGCACTCCGCTGTTAGCAGACGCTGCTCCACGGTGCAGGGCGAGGTGAGGGTCCGGTTTGCCCCCAGTCCCACAGGTGAGGTAGCATATATATATATATATTTCATTTAACTGCTTCGTTTTCAGGAGCCTGATTTTATATGTGTGCTCCCTCATTGGCACAACTTATTTTGACAGTTTAACTGTACATGAACACCTGTGTTTTTCCAATATGGTAGGGTCATGTAAAAAGACAGGTATCTCTTTTGTCCAATATTCTGCAGTCTGCTAAATGTATTGCTTTCTTCTGCAGGCTTCTTACACCTCGGAGGTCTCCGAACTGCTCTATACAATTATATCTTTGCAAAAAAGTATGGAGGCTCATTCATCCTGCGACTGGAGGACACTGATCAGAGCAGACTGGTACCAGGAGCTGCTGAGTCCATAGAGGACATGCTGGAGTGGGCTGGTAAGAAACATTGGTCCACAGGAAATACACAGAAGAGCTAAAATAAGCTGATATGAAGTTTTAGAAAAAAATCCATATTAATATTATTAGCAGTATTTTTTTGTTTTAAATGTGTACATGGAGGGCTACAAGGTAGCACTGTTGCCTCGCAGCAAGAAGGTCACCGGTTCACGTCCCGGTGGGGGCACCAGGATCTTTCTGCATGGATTTTGCATGTTCTCCCAGTGCAGCGTGGGTTCTCTCCGGGTTCTTCAGTTTCCTCCCACAAGCCCAAAAACATGTTGAGGTTAATTGATGATTCTAAATTGTCCGTAGGTGTGAATGTGAGTGTGCTTGGTTGTCTGTCCTTGTGATAGTCCCCTGCCTTTGCCCTATGTTGGCTGGGATAGGCTTCAGCCCCCTGCGACCCTAGTGAGGATTAAGCGGTGTATAGATAATGGATGGATGGATGTGTACATGAAGTACTTGCATAATGGCACCACCTATATAAGGCTGCATGTAGAACCAAACAAAGCATAAAACAATACCTGGTAAATGGATTCATTTAGACCTCTTACGATGGGGATTTACAACCAACACTTGCTGCTGTACCATAGCAAAGGCCAGTGGTGAAGTCCTATCTTTGTCTTGCAGGTATACCTCCAGACGAGAGTCCTCGCCGAGGCGGGCCGGTGGGTCCATACCTGCAGTCTCAGAGACTGGACCTCTACAGTCAGACAGCTCAGCAGCTTGTCGAGAGTGGTCATGCTTACTACTGTTTCTGCAGCTCTCAGAGGCTGGAGCTACTGAGAAAAGAGGCTTTGAGGACTGCACAGACTCCAAAGTAACTGAAAACAGGAATACACACAGTGTGTCACATGCAAATGTCTGTGTGTTTTTCTCACACTCTGAGGAATTATGTTTTGTTTTGGGTTTTCTTTCTTTCTTTCTTTCTTTCTTTCTTTCTTTCTTTTTTTTTAAACCAGATTTAAGGTGCTGACTGTGTTTCTTTGCCTCTTCAGGTATGACAACAGGTGTCGGCACCTGCGGACCGACCAGGTCCAAGAGAAGCTGGCTCAGGGAGCATCACACGTGATCCGATTTCGTCTGGAAACTGGCGTTGATCCTTTTCAGGATCTGATCTTTGGATGGAATCGTCATGAGGTGGCAGAGGTCAGATTTGTAGTAATTTCACACTCTTTCAGTTGGGCTTGAAGATGTAGGAGACTCACACATCATTTCAGGCATAACAAGCATCAATTCATCCCCTCTCAGGAAGCCAAATGCTGTTTTTGTGTATGTTTGACATTAGATATGCTCAGTTTCATATTAATTCAAGATGTCTGACATTGTAAGCACTATAAAAACAAATATGTGAGATAGCTTTGTCTCATTTGTTCTGACTCATCCCCAGCTCTCTGATTTCATATTTTTTCCTCTCATACTCTCTGTCTTTTCTTAGGTAGAGGGAGACCCAGTGGTGATAAAAGCTGATGGTTTTCCCACCTATCACCTTGCTAACATAGTAGATGATCATTACATGAAGATCAGCCATGTGCTGCGGGGGTCTGAGTGGCTCATCTCCACCTCTAAGCATCTCCTCATGTACCAGGCTCTTGGATGGCAGCCGCCCACCTTCGGACATCTGCCACTTCTGTTGAACAAAGACGGTAGTAAACTGTCTAAGAGACAAGGGGACATATTCATTCAAAGCTTCCAGAGAGACGGGGTCCTGCAGGAGGCTCTGCTGGATATCACAACCAACTGTGGATCTGGATTCAACAGTGAGTCATTGATGAATCAGTAAAAAATAATTTGAGAAAAAAAGATGTTACAAGGAAAGATCAAATAAAAGCCTATTTTAATAAATCGTGTTTGTGATTATCAGGTTAAAAAAAACACAGAAGCTTAAAGTGCATCAATGAGATCAGCGCTAAAAAGATGTATAAAATAAAAATAAATGATCATTTCTGTTATGTGATTGTGTTTCCATGTAGCTAATCGAATGGGGCGGAGGATTGATGAACTGATATCTGAGTTTAATCCTTCAAAGATCACAACTCATTCTGCTTTGTTAGACCTGGAAAAACTACCAGAGTTCAACAGGTAAGTCAAATTTTCCTTTAAATGTATGTGTCTCGGTTTAATTGTCTGTGTTCTGTTCATTTATGCCTCATTAGATTCTAAGGCTAAAGGTTTCAAGTCTACATTACAGAAAAATCTCATTTAAAATGGAATAAAATGAGGTTTGTACAAGTGATCATGGCATTGAATTAACTAAAAACAATGATTATTAATGGCCTTGCTAGAAGCTTTTATTTAATTTATCCATTTGTTTGCTCAAAGCAGTGAAACATTTGAAGATAAACATTTGTCACCATGTCCTGCTCTGAGTTCTTATATGAGCCTCTGTTCATTGCACAGCATGGCTTTTCCTCTGGTGCCACCCTCAGGCCAAATTAGATATTTTTTTTATTGTCTGTTATTGAGGATGAACAATAAGCACAGTTTTTTATCCATTGTTTTATATGTTCATTAATTTATCTTTTTAGGGACTTTTACCTTTGGAAAGTGAGCTATTCCATAAGCTAAGTTGTTTATGTAGTGAAATGGTACAGTTATTGTGAGACTGGTGGTGTGTGATCAGACAAAACTGAGAAAAAGCTTGGTGGTTTGTCCCTGTAAATCCTCCTACAACAAGAATGCTTTGCTATTGACGCAACTCGATGATGGCCTGGTGGAGGCGGGCCTATGTTATAGTTTGGAGTAGAGCCTGGATGCTACAAAACTCTCCATATGATCTTGAGAACAGGCAGATACCAATACAGGCAGCAAGAAGGGAATTACACTTCATATTGATCTAGTTCCAGTTTTATAATGAAAACCTGTTGAAAAACAGTATCTATTTATAGAGGTGGGCAATCTGCCCTGAAGATCAGATGATAATGTTTTCCAAGGATTATGATCCACAGTCTGAATCACAATTACCCTCAAAGATTTAGTTGAACTCGTGATCACATGATTAGTTGTTCCTAAGGTTGCCTCATTACAAAGCCTTTCACTGCAACTCAGTGTCCAGAACAACTCTCCTGTGATACGAGGCAGAGAGACACTGTTGTAACATTGCATGAACTGGGAACTTTTTTTCTTTCTGGGGCGACAAACATGGGACCTCCGTCAGATACCACCACAAACAGTCTACGTCTGTGAGAAATCGCCATGCTATGATGGTCTACAATATCCATCCATCCATCATCTATACACCGATTAATCCTCACTAGGGTTGCGGGGGGCTGGAGCCTATCCCAGCTGACTTAGGGTGAAGTCTATTACAGGGCTACACTTAGAGACAGACAACCAAGCACACTCACATTCACATCCACAGACAATTTAGAATCACCAATTAACCTCAACATGTTTTTGGACTGTGTGGGAGGAAGCTGGAGAACCCGGAGAGAACCCACATTGCACGGGGAGAACATGCAAACTCCACGCAGAAAGATCCTGGGTATACTCACCGGGAGGCGAACCGGCGACCGTCTACACAGCTGTGAGGCAACAGTGCTAACCACTGAGCCACCTTGCAGCTGGTCTACAATATGATGGTCCAAAATTGTCAGATAGCCCACCACCATTCACTTATGATCACAACATGAACAAAAATATTAAAAGTAAAAAAAAAAAAGAAAAAGGAAAGTCTTTTTTGTGAAAGCCATATTTAAGGTTCATACCTAATTAATCTTTCCGTGACTGTGTCAGAATCCACCTGCAGCAGCGAATTGAAGACGAGGAGCAGTGCAATTTGCTGATAAAAGACCTGCGGGGACAAATCCAGCAGGCTCACACAACAGAGATTCAGGATAAAGAAGTGCTACACGAGGATTATATCAGGCGTGTGCTACAGCTTCGTAAGGTAACCATAACAGGACTCTATTTTACCAGCATTTAACTGTCGTATTGTCAATGTGCTTACGTGGTCAATGTTAGCATGTTTATATGGCAGCTCTTTACAAAAACAACTCAGACTGACAGTTGAGCAATTTTGTTGCACAAATGAGACTGAGAACTATATGAGATGTTGAAGCATAGCCAGCATGCAGAAAATAAACTCTTTTGTTTAAGAAACAGGCAAATTTTTCATATCTGGGGAGGAAGTTTATGTTGTGACTTTAAATGTACTTTTGTTTGTTTTCTTTCTAATGGGTAGATATATTTAAGTAGAAGTCAGGCTGCTAAATTAAAAAGGTCTGGTGTTTGGAAGTCATATAATTAATTGAACTGTGGCAAAATATCTGTTGAGATTTTCTGAATTTGTAAAAGATCGTCAAGGTTTTACTTCAGAGATGTAGAGGCACTTTGTATATTGTTCGTTGTGATAATCTGACCCTGTGTAAATAAACAAACCACCATACAAAAGCAGCTTTATAGCTGTGAGAAAGTTCGTCTTTAGAGAGTTCCTAAATCAGCTTCACCTACGCGTCGTCTTGAATTGCTATCTGTCCCTGTAGAGCAGCTACTGTGGTTTGTTGCTTATTTCTCAACAATGTTCTCTCGTCTCACCAGTAATACTGAAACTATCCTCTTCTCTCTTCAACAGGGTCACATATCCTCCCTGAAGGAGCTCGTAAGCCCTCTTTACGCCTACCTGTGGGTGCGTCCTTCCTTCTCCAGCCAACAGGTGGCAGCACTCACTGCAGAGGCCCCGCACGTAGCTTCTTTAGTGCTGAGGTGTGTAGTTCTAAAGTGTCAAACTGCACATTTCTCTTCACCTTACAGCTGCAGTGTTTTAGCAGGATTACGAACGTTTGTGTCTTTATACTTAGGTTGATAGAGGAGCGGGGTGAGGAGCTGTCGGTGGATCAACTCAGTAAAGACCTTAAGACTCTGGCAAAGCAGACGAAAGCCACCAAGTACAGAGAATTGATGAAGCTGTTGCGTCTGGTTCTCAGTGGTTTGCAGGTACGTAAACATGCCGTGCTCTGTGGGTTTTCATGACTGATAGTAATACCAACCCCACAGGGTGTCCCTTCTGATACTGGTCCACCACACTTGACAACAGGGAAGCTCAACTTCAAACTAACTCACCAGCAGCTCTGTTTGTGCGATGAGTCATTTTCACACATCGGCAGCTTTGTGTGACTGACTAAGTCTTTTGCCTTCAACTTGTCCTGTTAAAAACTATTTTGAAAGCAACAAAATTTTTTAAGTTGGCTGCTGCTATTACCTACAGATAAAGCTGGTGTATAATGTGTGAGCCTACTGAATGAAGTCTGATGGATGCTGGAATTATATAATCTTTTATTGAATATTTTAGCATGGTTATGCTCCAAGCAAGTTTTTTTTCCCCCCCTTAAGGTTTTGTTTGATAAAATGTTATGTTTCTTTTGATCTGCACAGATTTTGACACGTCAGTCTTGTACTATTCCAAGTGAAAAGCCTTTTGTGACTCCACAATTAGCTGCAGAAAGTCTCATAAGTGACCGAATGATGCTACTTGAGCTGGCATCAGTTTGAGTTAAAAGTCACTACTTTGAAAATGTTTTAAATCTGTGGGTAATGTTGGCTGCAGGTTTTGTCTATTAAGGTGAGTGTGAGGAATAAAAAAAAATAATAATCTGGTACAATAATGTTTTACAAGTGCTATACTAAATAGGTTAAGTACAGTCGAGACTCGCTAATCCGACCCTTAACAATCCGAAAACCTTGCTGTCCGACAGATTTTTAGGAAAAACGAACGGAACCCATTAAAAATAGCCTTAACAGACCAACAGCCTTGGATTCTGACTCCAACATGACAATTTATGGCACAAGTAAGGATAACGGCGTATTATCTGACTGAACAATCCGACAGATTGACTTTGTGCAGACTGCAGGATTTAATGCTCAATTCTTAAATGCGACTTGTATGTGATCTGCTGTGTGAACTTCATACGATCCAAAAGTGTCCCGCATGCATCACACGCAGTTAGTGTGCTCAGTGTTTGCAGAAGTAAACACGTATGGTAATGGTAACCGCTGCCACCGCCGTCACTGATGGTGGAAACAGAACTGTGACCTCTATCCTAAACTAGCATCAGCAGCCAAGTACTGCCTGCGTGTTCTGGCCACTTCCACCCTGTCAGAGTGCTCCAGGAGAAGGTTTTACATTTAGTGTCGGATTATCGAGTCACAGCTGCACTTAAAGCTAAACTGCAGCATGTTAAAATATAGGTTCATGCCCTTTACGTTCAAGCCAAAAGAAGTTACACACTGCTGATTCAGCCTATCGGTACCAAGCAAATCTGTGTTTCACAGTGTCCTAGAGTTTTAAAATGTGGTGTCTTAGGCCGCATTGCCACAGTGGTGCACCAGCAGGGACACAATTTATGTCAATGAGCAATGAATGAGCTGAACATTAGTGGACTACAACAACAACAAGGACTATGGTGGACAAACAAAAATCCTCTGCTCCAGATAAAGAAAGTAACGCTGTGTAGGGGAAGATTTACAGTCTAAAAAAAGAAAGTGATCTTTGGTGAGGCAGATGGGGCAACAAAAATTCTGCACGCTAGTTTTAAATCTATTCATTTAAATGTGAGGCTGGTCTATAAATCCTGTCGTGGTTTTGTCCCAGATTTTTGTTATGTAGCTCCGAGGGTTCACCATCAGATAGTGAGTATTAGTCACCAGATTATTACAGAGACATCTGTGATTTGCCTTTTCTTTTTCACTTCATCTGCATTCTACTCCTTGGTGGTCCAACAAGGAGTTTTTCTTGTTTTTGGTTACATCAAACATGTCTTGTAAACACTCTAAATAGATGACCCCTTTAAAACTCCCTGTACCAGCACAGTTAGTTTTGCTTGAGAAATTGTGTTTTGCACAGGCTAATCATAGCAAAAGTCATGCAGTGCGTACCAGAGGTGGCCATTAATTCAGCGTGTCGTCAGTCTCTGCTGTAAATAGCTGCAGTAAACGCTGCTCTTACCGTCACTGATGTTATGTTTTTGATATTTTCTTGTAAACTTAGCCAGTTCCCTTATTAATCACCAGAACATGCAGTTGTGTTGTGGCCTTAAAGTGTTGTTGTATAATTATTCAAATGAATGAATGCTTCTTTTTTTTGGCATCAGTCAGATGCATTCAAATCCAGTATCGCCCAATGTCAGGTCCAATGGTTTTGTCTTTTTGGTAAGAGGTTCTGTAAATCCTTGGAAAACTACATTAACGACCTCGATCAGAATCCACACAATCATGTCAATGGAGGTTAAATCTCTGCAACCACCAGAAGGTACCAAAACAGGGTTTGGGCTGCCGGTAACATGGTTTATTGTAGCAGCCAGCCTTCTTCAACATAACGGCAGGAGTCCAATAGATTGGAACAGAGTTGCTTGTCAGGGTAAATAATGTCCAAACCAAAACTAGCCGAATCTGTCAAAAAAAAAAAAAAAGATCTGTATTTTCCTCTAATGTTCGAATCGATTAAAGGTAAATGACGAGTCACATCAGACAAAAAAAATCCAGGCTTTCACTCTGTGACACTGACTGCACTGTTTTTACTTAAACAAGCAAAAATCTTTTTCTGTGCTTGATTTTCTGAGCCTTGTGTTTACATAGGTACTGTTTGGTCTACATCAAGAACTCACCTTGCTCTGTAATATCTTCAGACAGTTGAAACTCTTATGAACTAAAAATACCCTTCACTGGTTTTTTTTTTTTTTTACATCTCACTTTCAGTTCTGCAATTTTACCTCTAAAACTGTATTTTTCAACTGCACCTCAGCAAATCCAATCATATTTTGCTGCAGTAATTAGAAAATCACTCCACTGCATGAGTTTCTTTTTTCCGTCCGTGTCATGACTCTTTAGTTCTTACTTGTAGAGTTTCGTTTAAAATGGCAGTAATGACTAAAGACTCCAAAGTCAAAAATGTGACTCAGCCACCACAAACACATAACACAGTCACATATTGAGGGCAGGAATATAGAAAGAGGAAGATGTTCATGATTGCGCTCAGAGGATGCTGTCTGGGTTGATTATGTTGCTTCACTGACTTCTGATCCTCTGTTTCTCTTTGGCCTGTAGCAAGGTCCCAGTGTTGCTGAGATGATGGTGTCTCTGGGGCCTGCAGAGATCAGCCATCGATTCCAGAAACTTCTGCTGCTTTCTGACAATAATTAAAGACTGGACAGTCCGTCACCACATCACCTTACATTCACTCTGCTGACGGAACCTGAAGACAACTGCTTCTGTTGGACTTGGACCGTATGTTGGGAACTACATGCTTTACCTCACATGTGGTGATTCTGCCAAAGCTAAATGGGCCACATTGGACATGAACTGACAACCTCTGATATGTTGAGTAATAGTTGAATTATTGCAAATGTTTTATAAAAGAGCTGAGAACTAAGTTTATGCACATGATCTGGTTTTTTTTTTATATTCAGCACTGTGAGACTTTACAGGATCACCTGACCCCATGCTCAGACAAATGGGAAGTACCTTGGATTTTTTTTATGCAAACGAACCTGTGCTTTACTTGAGAAAAACTGTTTTAACGAACTCCTATACACAGATGAGTTGTACAGTCAAAAGGGAAAGAACTTCCAGTTCAAATGTGAAAAAAAGTCATGCAAAAACTAAACGCACTCCAACAAAAAATGTGCTGGATGATTTTGAGATAAGAAAAGAAGTCCTAATTTGTACTACTGTTGGTTCTTTCTCATGCACATTTTCTCAAGTCAGTACTGCACTGAAATACAGTTTTGGAATATTTGCAGTTGAATATCTCCCTTTTGTTCTACTTTTTAAAATTTATTCTTTTTTACATTTTCAAGTTTTAAATATTGTACTTTTTCTAAATAATACAGCTTCTTCAAAGCAACGTAACAAAAACAGCTGCTGTTCAACATTTTCAAGACAAGCTCATAAAATAGGATTATTTAATTACACAAGGTTAGCAAAATGTTAGTTTTTATGTAAGCAAATATTACATATACTAATGAACAAGTTATGTTGCTGCTGGTAGTTATGGAGCTAATTTGAGCCATTTTAAAACTGTTGGATAATTTTACCTATAACAACACATGTTTTGTAGGATCATCAAAAGTTTTGTGCATAAATTCTTCAGTGAAGACTAATTAAAGCTGTCAAATACACATAGTGAAGTAAACGCATTGTTTCTCTGAAGTGTAGAAATGGCAGCCACGCCTCTGTCAGTCTGCCACAGGGCAGCTGTGGCTACAATCGTAGCTACCACCACCACCAGAATGAATATGTGTGAATGAATAATTGATGGTGTAAAGCGTCTTTGAGTGTCTAGAAAAGCGCTATATGAATCTGATCAATTACTTTTATTTATAAGAAGGATGACAGGTGAGTAGTTTATCCTCCATTTTACTATCCCATACTGTGGCACATACTTTGTTTACAACCCTTAGTATTACCATAGTAGGACTTTAGAGAATACCATCATAGTGGTGCTCACATCAGTTGGAACCATGGTAGTCCATATGTACCTCGGTAGTTTACTGTGTAGTGTGTACTGTGAGCAGTGCCACGTGGTATTATGTTAGTTACCAAACTACCATGGCCTAATACCGGTATGTAGTCTTTAGAGGTACCATGATAGATACAGTCAGAGTCATTATAAGGACTTGGGTGCAGTGGCTCTATAGAGGTAAGTACTGCGGTGTTTGAGAGCACACCGTGGTGAAGTAAAAAAAAAAATAACCCTATGTCTTCAGAGGTGTCAGAGCATATGTAGTACTCTGTACACTTCCACACGAACTGCTCCAAAGGTTCAAGCTCTGAATAGCTGTCATGTACCAGGTTGAACTGTTATTGTAAGACTACATTAAAACCTACAGTTTTGAGATATTTTACTAATTTTTACATCTACTTCACTACATGCAAGTACTAAAATTTTACTTAAGTCATTCTCTGTAAAAAAAAAAAACAACAAAAAAAAAAACTCCATGACAAGTAAAATACTTGTGCTACAAATGCTCCTTAAATGTTGAAGTATGACCAGCAAAATATATTTAAAATATCAGAAGTGAAAGTACTTAGAGCAGAGAAATGTACCCTGTGACTGTTCTACAGTTAAATATCATTACATTATTCGTACTTGTGCATGAATGTGCAAGCAGCATAGTCGCCTGAGCTGGAGCTAAACTTTGAGGGCTGCAACGTGTACTCATTGTGACTCAATCTGCTGATCTTCTTGATCATTCCACTAACTGATAAGATTGTTAAAGATAAAATGGTGAGAGAAATCCATCACAATGAGCTTTTCAGACAGTCGAAACCTCAAAATAATCAGTTTGTACATTGACAAAGCAGTTAAACAATACATCTACACTTTGTAAAGCTTCTTTGAGTGTCTTTAAGTCTCTGTGTATGTGTTATTATTTCAAAAACTTTGCATAGATTTATTTTTTAAGTAACTGAGTCTACAAGGAAAAAAATAATGCAGCAAACACTTCATTAATTTTCTGTATAGCATTTGGCTTTTAAAAATATAGAACTCCTTTATTGCCATTACACAGTATACAACAAAATTAATCCTGTCAGGGCATTTATACAATCTGACATTTTGAAAAGTACGACAAAAAAAATATGCAAATATAAAACAGAATTAAAAAGCAAAAAGCATCTCAGTTTTATATGTAAAACCTTTATGTGCAAAGAACCAGGGATTTAACTTTGTCACATAACTGTAGTAGAGCAACAAGTTAATTGGAAATTCAGTTAAGCAGAGATAAGAAAGTAGCATGACAAGGGCATGACATTTGTTCTTGAATATTTCTTTGCAGCACCGCATTGAAGATATGCTGAGTTTTCTAAAGGTAAAGTCGAGTTTTGGTTAAAGTTAGACCTGTTGCCTGTCAGTGCGCCTGCGCGGGGGAGGCGGTGGGGGCTAGGGGGGTGTAACGTGTAACTTGGTTAGTGTGTCAGCAGTGTGAGCGTCACATGTCTCCATCAACAGGCGGCAGTTTGACACCTCCGCTCCCCCCGCAGACACTCACCCAGACCCGCACCTTCACTGCCTCTGGAGCGGCGCCACGGACACGGCAATGGCGAGCGGTGACAGCCAGCCGACCCTGGAGTCATGGCTCAGTAAGTGAACCCGGAGAAGTTAGTTTGTGTTGAGCTGCTTGTTTGCGTCGCAGCGCTTGGCTGGTCGACACCATCGTTTCATGTCTGCACCGACGGACGCTGTAACTCGTGACTTCTGTTTAACTTCGTGGCTGTAGTTTGACGGTTTGTGTGCGAATTAACGCTGTGTTACTTCTTAAAAGTTTAAAGAAAATAATAATAAAAAAAAAAAAGTTTTGTGTTTGTGCACCAAGTCTCAGCCGGAGCAGGAAGTTGCTGAGGGCGCGTGCTCGAGAGAAGCGCTCGAGCGGTGTTGGGTCTAGGCGCGTGCGCGGTGGAAGAAAAAGTTGTGTTTTTTTTTTTAGTTTGTCAGAGACATGTAATTACACATTTAACATATCACATTTGTATTGAGGATTTCCCCAGGATACAACTGAAGAGTTCATTTACAAAAACAGATAACTGCATTTTTGTAGATTTTCAGAAAACGTATTTTTTTGTTGTTTGCTTGAGATAATATCAATCAAACTGAAGTCGAGTGGATTTGACTCAGTAGAAATGACAAAAATAGATATAACTTAAGTTTGACTGATGTTATCTAAGGTTGACGATGGAACCGTGGGCTTTCTGAAGGTTTGTGAAGATGGAGTTATCTGTTATCATTTTTTTTTGCAAATGAACTCTTCAGCTTCATACTTCCACTCCAGTTTTTTTGGAGTGTACTTTTTATTGTCTGTGCAGAAAAGAAAGAAACATTTTCCTGCAATGCATTCATCTCACAGCCTTTAGTTACAAGTGACTTTAGAAATGTCAACTGGAACCGATGATGAAAATGGGACTGAAACAATTTGTCACTTAAGGGAAAATCAGCAGTTTTAATAGGCTTCATCAACATTTCCTGGTTCTAAACTTAAGTGTGTGAATTTGCAATGTTTTCCCTTTTTTTCCCCATTTAACAACCCAAGTAATCAGTTAAATAAGGGAAATGAGCAGATGGGTCCTCAATAAAATAGTAATTGTTTGAAATAGCAAACAAAATAGTATGTTTTATGAATTTAACTGTTACTAGTATATCTTAGTCGTATTATAATATATATAGGGGACACTTTTCTGCATCGAGCACTTTTATATTTAGTGCTTACATTACATTTTCCTGATGATGCTTACTTACTTTAGCGTGAATAACATTTTATATGCATGATTTCCTTTCCTTTTCCTGTTTTTATAGTGTGGTACTTGCACTTTTACTTAAGTGAAAAGTACTTCCTCCACCACATTTTTTTCATGTTTAACTGAGAAACCCTGAGATTATTGTTGAGAAACGCATTATTGCAAGTTAACGACCAGTATTTAAGAAGTTACCGACAAGTTAGGAAGTACAAAAAGTACAATAAGTGCAAATCCTTGGTGTGAATATATATTTTATTAATTTTGAAATGCATGCACCCACAACAAAAAACTAATATTAGACCACTGACACTGGACAGAGACTGCTGTCAAGTGTCAGACTTAGTTTCCATTTATTTGTCAGCGGCCATGTAGAAAAAAAAAGAATTACTAACATTAGGAGGAGGGGTGTAGTGTCAGCTAAATTCCATCAGCAGTACGTGCAAGGGGACACACAAAATACAAACGCAGTGCAGTCAGTAGTGCAAAATGCAGGGAGCTATTAGATTTCAGGAAAAGAGAGGGGAAAGGGGAACTCCATTCATTACTTTCAGATTCACCGATAATGCAAATAATTGTTGGTTGTGATCCTAGTTAATACTTACTGAAGTTGTGTAGTTAAAGCTTCCCCAAAGCTCCTATTTCAAATTTTGGCCATTTTCATTCACATGAGTTGGCAGGATGAAAACAAAATCCTCCTCTTTGCTGTTTTCTGACTCTTGATAATGTTGAATGTTTGCTTTCAAGGTGGTTCAGTCAGCACAATCGTTCACATTCAGTGTGATTCCTGTCTTCAAAGTAGTAAAGAAAAGTCTAAAGTCCATGAAAATATGATATAATGCCAGCAGAGGCAATAACAGTAAACATAGAGGCATGTAGTTAGTGGAGCTTTAGGAAATCAAACCCATTCATCAAGAAAAAACGCAAAAAAAAAAAAAAGTTTGGGTCAAATAAACAACCAGTGTAAAAGAAATCTTACAGACTAACAGTTACTGAAATGTTACTATGAACATGTGATGTGTATAGCACTGGAATATGTGCAGCACTTTCTTTCCACACTTGGTGCAAAATAGGCAATGATCCATGTCTGTCTTTCCCTTTTGTTTCCAAATTAGCACGTTTTTCTCAACCTGTTTCTATGATGTGATTGTTTCAGACCAGGCCACTAATCCCAACAATGAGGAGGACAGATGGGACTGCATCCAGGCCTTCTACCTGCTCGTCAACCAGGAGACCGACGGGTAGGCACAACATCTTTATTCTTACCTACGTTTTAAGCGCTCTCCATTGTTGTAAGGCATGAATTAAAGTTTGGTGGGCAGACCATTCACTTCTGAAAGCTGCTTTATTGCAACTCTATCAATTGAGAAAGAGTTGCTTCACATTCATGTTGCCATCACAGGTTGTCAGTTACACCATCATGCAAGAGTGAGGATGAACTCTGTAGCACCTTTTCCCTTTTTCAAAGTATCATAAAGTCTGAAGGTAATGTATAGGTCCTGCTTTTCAAGAGTTTGACTGGATTTCTTTTGGGTATAAGCAGGCCTGGCAGTATGTGGAGGCTATCTGAACAAGATGCCTTTTGCTCGTTGTGCAACATTTTGTTTGCACACAGTCCACTCAGGCATTTTAATGTGATTTTTAAAAATTTGTTTAATTTGTTCTTTTATGGGCTTTTTGCCTTTATTCAGACAGGATAGTGAAGACAGACAGGGAAACGTGGGGACAAGAGTCGGGGGAGGACATGCGGCAAATGAGCCGCTGGCTGGACTCGACCCGCGACTGCTGAGTCAGGGACTATAGCCCCTGTACATGGGTCGCCGTCTTATCCAGTTGAGCTACTGGGGCCCCCATTTTAATGTGATTTTAAATGTTCTGCTTTCAGGCCACAGGTAGCCATTCGTCTTCTTGCTCATAAAATCCAGTCGCCGCAGGAGAAAGAGTCTCTGCAGGCTCTCACTGTAAGTGACCAACTACTGCACATACAGACGATGCATGCTACACAGTATGCAGTGTTTTTATTGGTGAAGTTAGCATTTTACATGTTCCAGACATACAGTGTACATCTCTTATTTAACACTCTTTTTCAATGGTCATCCATGTATTGGAGTGTCTTTAATCTTAGAGTCCATTCATTGAAAAACAAAAGTCTTTGTTTGAACTCTAGGGGAGGGTGGTCTTGTGAATAATATCTGTGACTAACTTTTGCCACATGAACAAAGAAACACGAGGGATTTAATTCGCAGTAGAATCTGCTGTGACACCACACGGCTTGCTGTCTATACATTGCCGTACAGACAGCAAGCCTGTCTACGCTTCAATCAATGTTTCGCTCTAAAATGTAACTTGGAGAAGCTTCTCGAGGGCCGTGTGCCTCATGTCATGTGACATTTAAAGGTGGTTAACCACAAGCATGCAGTGACAAAATGTGCTTTGCCTCTCTCGTGTTGCGCAAGAACAAAAGAAATTCCTTTCATTTCTTTCTTTTAAAGTGTCTGGTGGTAACGATTTATGCTTTATTTGGTGCTTTTCAGGTTCTTGAGGCATGCATGAACAACTGCGGCAAGAGATTCCACAGCGAGGCCGCCAAGTTTCGCTTTCTTAATGAGCTCATCAAACTCCTAACACCAAAGGTACTGCTTATGAGAGATCCTCATTTGAGTAGAAGGCAGCTAGACCTCTTTATGGTTCTTGAGGACGTTTTGTATCTCATCCAAGAGGCTTCCTCAATTCTAAATGGCTGTCAGTGGGTCATTACTCACCTGAAACTCACATTAATGAAAACTTACTGATGACCTGCAGCTCACATGAGTCAACATGTGAGTGTACAGTCGTCCTCAAATGCATTCATTCCATTAAAGAAAAGACAAAATTCATAATAGTCACTCAAATAACTAGAAACTAAAAAAAGTAATAATAATTAAAAAATTGTTAAATTATAATTTTGTGAAATAAGACATTGTTTTTGAATTGTGGTTGAAAAAAATAATTTAAAAAAAATAACAAAACTGTACCGGACAAATGACAGCACTTTGCTGATGAGCAGTGGACCAAAATACCTGTCAACAGGTGCAGAAGTCTGATTGAGAGTTACAGAAAACACTTGATTGCAGTGATTGGCTCAAAGGGTTGTTCAACAAAATATTAGTTTACGGGTTCCATCATGCTTGTTTGCTTGTGTGTGTGTTTTTTATTTTTATATATATATATATTTCTGTTGAACCACAATTCAAAAGCAATGTTATGATGTCCATTCAATTTTTATTTATTATTACTTTTGTCAATTTCAACTTATTTCAGTGGCAGCTGTTATTTCCTTCTTTAATGGGAGGGTATGAATACATTTGAGGACGACTGTAGGTGAAACTTGATATCCGGCCTGCACTGAATGTGGCTGATAGGTTGGCGTCGACTGTCTTGTTCGGAAAAGGTCACTCCAGTTTAAAGACACTTCCAAAGAAAAGGAAGTTTTTGACATTGGTAACATGTCCATATGGTGTTTTTATGTGCTAGAAGACATGAGAAAAATTAGCAGTCAACACCATGACTAAGCATTTCCACTTTGGAACTGCAGTGACCTGCAAAAACTGCAATTAGTGGATTAAAGAGGTACATAGGAAAGTAAATGTGAAAGGATGGATAAATATCATGTACCAGTGAAAAGGAAAGACTTTAAAACACGTAGTTTATAAGATTCTAAACATAGTTAAGTAATTATACATTAAGTCCAACATTGAAAGATGAGCATGATCACCCTGTTGATCTCTCTGAGCAGTACTTCGGCGCCTGGACCCCACAGAAAGTTAAAGACAGAGTGACGGAGGTCCTCTATGGCTGGACGCTTTGGCTTAAAGATGAACCCAAGATTCAGGAAGCCTACAGCATGCTCAAAAAACAAGGTCAGGAACAACACACGCAACATGAAATCTTTATCAAGGCTGCACTCAAAAGATCCACCTTTTAAATTCTTAGACTGGCTGGGGGAAAAAAAGTATTTAAAATTGCAGATATATAGAACTGATATTCATTAATTGCTTTCTTGGTGTTGTGTCCTTCTGTCGAGAATAAAACCACGTTATGTTTCTTTGTCTAATTTTAGGTATTGTGAAGGCAGATCCTAAACTGCCAGACACAGTTGTAATGGCTCCTCCACCACAAAGAGCCGCAGACTCTGTTTTTGACCAGGATGACAAGGCCAAGGTGAGTCTGTATGTGGTATATAAAAGGACATCTGCTGCGTTTCATCCTGCTAACGTGCTTTTTTTATCTTTAGCTGTTAGCCAGATTATTGAAAAGTGCTCGTCCTGAAGACCTGGAGACCGCCAACAGGCTCATTAAAAGCACCATCAAAGAGGTGAGGACTGCTGTGCTTGTGATGGTCATCTTTGCAGCGACGCATTAATAATTGTGTGACCTGGGAATGTATTTTTCTGTGTGTCTGTGTTGTTTTAGGAGCAGGAGAAGGCTGACAAAGTGTCAAAGCGTGAGTGTACTCTGAAGGAGGTGGAGAGCAGCACCAAGCAGCTCAAAGAGATGCTGGACCAGCACTCATTAACTGGAACTTCACTACAGTCCAGCGATGATATGAAGGTATGTTGGACATGTACCAACAAATAATCAATTAACTTTATAATGCTGACGATAAAGCGAAGTGGCTCTGGAGGCCAGTGTTTAAGTCCTGTGATTGCTGTCATTTCTTCTCATTGCTAACTACACAACTGTTAGAAGTCTAATCAAGGTCTTGTCTTTGGTCTTTGATGATGCTACCGGGGGGCTGTGTGCTCCGAGGGGGTGGAAGTGGGCGGGACACACAAGCAGTATGAGGCTGCTAATGCCAGTTTAGGATGGCGGTCGCAGTTCTGTTTCCAGGCGGCGGGTGGCGGGTGAATATTCAGATATCAAAACTGCTATCCGGATACCACCACAACGACCGAATATTCAAATATTCAGATGTTCGGTTCCAGCCCTAGAAAGCAGCAACACGTCATAAAGATTATTTTCATTTTTATTTTTAGATATAATGTAGGGCCTGGGTGTTTTAGTTTCTACTGTCATGATCATCTATGTGAATTATAGATTCATTGCTAAACAGCAATGTCAATCTTATTTTTTCTTTTTTTTTTCTACTATTCCCACAACCACAGCTTTTATGTAATTTTTCTGACCTGTTTTTGCTCCTGTCATGTTTTTAATCACTGTGGGCTCATTTTTCACTGCATTGTAAAGTCTTTTACCTTCATGGAAACAGCACAACCAGTACCCGCTGTTATTCCCAATACTGAGGACGCGGCGTCTCTACCTTGTCTTCTTTCTGCGTTGTGTAAACAAAGCCTGCAGTTCACCTGAAAAGTACCGGAATTTTTTTCTAGTGAGGATTAAGTGGTGTATCGATGATGGATGGACGTTTTGAACAAATAGTTTAGTTAGTTTAAAATGAGACATATAAAACAACGTGATCTTGATGAAATACCACGTTTTTGACCTTAGATTTGATTAAGTCTCCCAACAGATTGGCTCGTCACAGATACGTAGTTCAGTGATCAGTGGAAAGTTAAAAACTCTTTTAGTTTTCATAGTTTCTGTCTCTGATAAAGGATGTAATTTTGGTGACTTTTTAAAGACAGCAGCCTTTCAAACACACCAGCATGTTCTGGGATTTAGTGGGTTAAGGCAAGAAAGGAATATTTAGGCTAATCTAAGCTGCACATACTTTCTCTGAGTGATGCATGTTTCCCATTAGTATCTCCTCAGCGTGTATGGGGGGGTGATGAAAATGAAGCCACCCAACATTTAACCCGTCCCTCTCACCACTGTAGGTGATGTACGAGCGCTGCGACCGGTTGAGGGCCAGTCTGTTCCGACTGGCCAGTGACACGATGGACGATGATGCTGCTCTGGCGCAAATCCTGGCTGCAAACGATGAACTAACACTTGTTGTAAATGCCTACAAAGACCATTTGGGAAGAGGAGGGTGCAATGGAGAACGAGCAAGAAGCAAAAGTGAAGAAGTGACAAGTGAACGTAACGGTAGGTCTTATTTTGTTCACCTTTTTGTCCGTTAGTCCCTGTAGAAAAAGGCTTAACCTTGTGTCTGACACTGCCTTGTGTTTGATCCTGTTTTCTCTTGGTTGTTCAGCTCCTCTGAGTCCCAGACAGATTAAGAGCTACCACCTCATCGATCTGTCAGCACTGGACTCTCCACAGACTCGCAGAAAAGCTGATTCACCACCTGTATTTGAACCCTCTCCGCCTCTTCTCTCTCATTTGAAGAGCACCTTCCACTCAGAAGCTGACCAGGACTTAAATGAATTAGGTGGGCCTGGATTTGTTGCTATTTCTAGTGTGTTGCCTCTGATGCTGACTAATTTATTTCATAATGTAATGACGTGGTGTTGTGTAATTACAGAGTTGGATAATTTATTCTCAAAACAAACCCAAGAGAATCCAAAGTCGTATTATGAGGATCTGATGCAGGTGAGGCTGGAATCTAAGGCTGACGATAAAGATGTAAAAGTGTGTTTTATTTGGAAGATGGAGTAAAAAGAAACAAAACATTTGTGCTTTATTTTAGCTCAACGAAGATGTTCAGATGATGAATGCTGAGCAGAATGGAGGGAGAGGCCCTTTGCTGAGAAGCCGTGGATGTGGGGGCAGCAGCGCTACGACAAATGGGATGAATGTTTGGTGAGGATGGTTGTAAAGAGGAGCGAGGACAGGAGAGGGACTAAATACCTGCCAGGCATCAGGTGGATTACATTATTGACAGGCCTTTAACTCCCCTTTTTGGCTTTTATTGCCACTTGGTTTGAGCTGTAAGGCGATATAAGCGTTTAATAATGTATGTTATATACCTATAACTTGACCTGTGAGCCCTCATAAGCATAAACAGACAATGACTGATGTATAGTAAAACACAGTGTGTCTCAGCACTTATTGCTGTTTGCAAAGCCTGTGCATTAGTAAAACCACATAAAGTGTCCTTATTTATACAACTACGTTATAAAGATCATACTGTGGCTGTGAATATCAGTGCATTCTTGTGGTACAGCACAATATTACTGCTCAATGACCAGTGGGAATCTCTGACTCATTGTGGCTTGAGGGCAACAGAACAATCCACAAATTGTCCATAGTAAAGTCAACATGGCAGGATGCTTTGTTGACCTGCGAAAGCCACTGAAGTTCCCAGAAACTGCTGTTAAAACAACACTAAGGCCAGACTTGGTGCTTCCAAGAAGACTGTTCTCTTTAGGCTTTCTGTTTCTGAGGTGGATCGCATTAAGAAGGCCAATGAGAGGAAGAGGGGAAAGTACGTAGAGCTAGTGGAATAAAAAAAAAAAGCAATTGGCAACAAGCGAGGTGGGAGCCGATTGAAGTGGGATTAGAGGGTTCACAGGCCAGTCCCTCTGCAGGGCCTCCAACAAGCTGCGCATCACAGGTAGAGCTGTGGGTGGTGGAGCGATACCTGTACATAAGCCAGAGCTGTTTGTGCTCCACCTTGGTTGCCTGGGTGAAAGTGTCTGATGCTGAAAGACCGACAACAACCAATGACCCCAGGTAACATCACTGATGATGTGTTCAGGTGCATCAAAACGATGTATGTCAAAAGAAGGTTTACATAATTAACTTCTGGTTCAAACTGAATTTTAATTTTAAATTTGATGATCTTCAAAGACTATAACGTGACCACTTGAAAACAAATATGACAAACAACATCAGCAAAACAAACATATACAAAGTATACAACCAGCTGAGGCATTTGGCTCGTGTTTCAAGGTAAAATATTACCTGTAATAAGTGTTTCTCTCTTCTGATTCATGTTATTGCTAAGCTGCCTCTGCCTTTTCTCTTGTCAGGTCTCTCCCCCAAAACCAGCAGTTTACAGGATCAGGATCACCTTCAAAGTTACAGAAACAACCAAATGAAGTTTCTGGGACTTTGGTGAAGCTGGAGGAGAGCTTGTGTCCCCCACACTTACTAAAAGACATCTTTGTGCCAGTGGACACCATCAAATCCAGTAAGTCCTCAAAGTCTGTGTTACTCTCCACTATGTTTAACAGCACTTCAGAGTCATTACTTAGTATCAGCACTATCACACACTTTCACTGCGTTGTTGTAACCGTTATTTTCTTGTGTCTGGTAGGTCACCTGGAGCCCATCACGTTACACGATCGGGCAGGCATCCACGTGTCGCTTCATTTTGCCAAAGACTGTCCACCCGGTCACCCAGGCGTCGCTGTGGTCGTCATGTCTGCAGTGAACACATCTGCCCTCGATGTGAAGGACTTCATGTTTCAAGCTGCAGTCCCAAAGGTAACGAACTCTGGTCACAGTGCACTGTGGCAGTAAGAAAGGTGATACTTTTTTTCTTTTCCCATTGCAGTTTTGGATGAGTGACATTTTAAATTGTCTTTAGCACACCAGATTAAAACCTCTTCAACCTCCAGAAGTTGCACAAAAATCCGGCCTGATGACTGGCACCAAAATAAATGTCTTTCTGTTGCTCTCATTGTTGCCATTCCCTACCACAGTGACAGCATGTTGTAATAAATAGTTGTGTGTATAATTGTGTATAAAATGTCAACAAAGGTGAAGTTTGCGCGCCCCTATAGCTCACCTAGTTGAGCGGGCGACCCATGAACAGGGGCGATAGTTCCAGATGCAGTGGTATGTCTCAACTGAGAACCCAGAGAGAACCCACGCTGCACAGGAAGAACATGCAAACTCCCTACAGAAAGATCCCGGGTGTCCTCACCAGGATGCGAACCGGCGACCTTCTTGCTGTGAGGCAACAGTGCTAACCACTGACCCACCTTGCAGCCCCCCGAAAAATATAGAAAGAAAAAAAAAGTGAAGTGTTGTTAGACTAAATATCTTAATCACCAAAATATTTAGTTTGCAGTGATATGTGAAAAAGAAAAGCAGCAAATAATTTTATTTGAAGCAGTAAAATGTATAGAAGGTGTAATTTGCTGCTAAATGACTGAAGTGATTAAAAGATTTTCAAAATAGTTGCAGATCATTTTTTCTGCCTCCCAATTTGTTGACTATTAATATCAGCATCAATACAATAATATGTAGAGTCAGTGAAGATCAGAAAAGCATACTGTGTTTTTGTGTTTGGCTCCAGCAGGAGAATAAATGATTAACTTCACGTACTCCCTGTTCTATGTGAGCTACGACTATCATTGTGCCTCATTGTTAAAGCTGACGGCTCTTCATGTATCCGCCCAGTGCTGCTGGATGGAGGCTGTGTGGGTTATCTGATAAGTTAATCGCAAATACAGTCACTCATAGAAGTGATATTATCCCGGTCAACAGTTTAATCAACATACCTTTACACCTGAATGTGTGTGGCGCCCCCTACTGGAGTCAGGCCATCGGTTCAGAATTTGTCAGAGTGTAAATAGTTTGTAGGCTTTCATGTTGCTTATCTTGTCTGCTTCTTAACTGGATTGAACACACAGCTCATTCTCAGTCCTACAACTGTCCTGCAGATCATGTTAGTGAAACTCCAGCCTGCCTCCAGGACACACCTACCTCCTTACAACCCTCTGCTGCCTCCACCTGCCGTCTCACAGGTCATCCTGTTGGCTAATCCTCAGAGGGTGAGTTTACCTGCATTTAGAGGCTGTCTCCTTCAGTGTTACTTGTAAAACATAAAAACTGAAGAAATGTTTGCATTTTTCTGCAAATGTGTAACTGAAACAGAGTCACTCTTCATTAGACATTGTCGCACAAACCAATTATATTACGTACAGTTGTATTAATTTACTTCTCAATTAACGTATCCTTGTATATGTAGGTACATATGTCGCCTTTTTCTCTAAGAAGTACCTCTTTTTCCTTTAGCGTAAGGTTCGCCTGCGCTACAAGCTCACACTGACACACGGAGACCAACGGCTGGACGAGACCGGAGACATAGACAGCTTTCCCGACTGGACTTCTCTGATCGGCCTCTAAAAACTTCAGATACCCAGATTCCAACTCTGTGTTGGACCCGAAATCTAAATATTGAGAGAATAAAGTGAACCCAGGGTGGAAGAAAAACATAAAAAGTGGGGGGAGTTTTACAGTGAAGGTACCTGCAGGAGATCTTCATGAAATAACACAGCAGTAATTGGATTCATACAAAGAAATGACTTGTGTTATTTTAACACAGAGAGTGTGAACTGTGCTTCACACGTTGAACAGCTGATAGGTTACTGTAGCAAAGATGTTCATTTTGTCCTCAAAGTACAGAATTTCTTTGTAATAGCACAATGGTATGAAGTTGTTAGCTGTACCTTGACATGTTTCGGCGTTCCATCGAGGAAAAACAGCTGATAAAGACACACGTCAGATGACACTTCTGAAGAAGGCGGCAGATGGAACGCCGAAACATGTCAAGGTACAGCTAACAACTTCATACCATTGTCCTATTACAAAGAAATTCTTAAGTCTACTTGACAGGTTACTGCCCGATAAGTAGGAAAATTAAATTGTTTTGATAACTGAACTTCAAGAGATGCAACAGCAATGCTTGTTCATCCGTTACATGCAGTGATGTTTGACGCTTTAGGAGACAGTAGAGTGTGTTCTTTAATACTTGTTGCACAGTCAGGACACACAGAACAGACAGCGAGCAGGAATTATTCACAGAGTTTGTGGAAGTGTATTGGATCAGAATTGCTGACTCATCTTTTGAAGTCTTAAGACGTATTTATTATCGATGATTATCAGTCCTGAAATATGGTACCAATGCATCTCTAATAAACATACACAGATGTCAGCAGTTCAGGTGGGTTTGGTACAACCACTGTTTGGAGCTGTTAAATATTCTGCCGTCGCCTTATTTCTGCTGTTTTGCGATTGCTGCCTCGTGCCGTTGTTATTCCAGTGTGACAATCCAGTGTGATCACTGTAGCCAAGAGTATGCCGACATGTTACCGGTGACGTGTCTGCATGTGAAAATCTTTATTTATTTTTTGCATTTGTGACATCAAAACTGCCAAAGTGCCTTGAGATGTTTTTAATGTGTATTTATTTTACGAACAGGATTCCCCTAAGAATCGACAGTTTCTTGTCTTTAGCTTTGGGTTGTAGAGTTATTTAAAATTGTAAAGGTACCGCTGTTGTGTTCCTTCATTTTATTATAGTATTTTGATTTCAGTCTATTTTGAAGAGTGCTGATTTGTACGATGACTGAAAGAGATTCCCCACTCTGACTCAACCAAACATACAGAAACAAAGCAAAACAGACGTGTAAACTGTTCAGAGGCCTGATCGGCTGTTTTTTGTTGCAGCATTTTTCCTGTCGCGTTTGTATTGACAGGTTGTTTTTTTTTGTTGTTGTTTTTTTAAATTGTTCATGTGTTTCGTTTATTTCCAGACTTTCTGTACAAGTTCAGAACATGAAGTGATTTTCTGCCTGATTATTGTCAATAAATACAACACAATGTATGTTGTAGCTCACAGGACACAGAGTTGTTGTGGTTTGTTTCTCAGGGACTCAAAGTGGTGTGTAATTTGTATTTTATTACATTAGAAAAGTTTCGAGTCCAATCTGATTCTTCAGCAGGTGCAGAATAATCGTCCTTGTGATTTTATTCTGTCTTATATCGTCTTATATAGAAGCAGACTGCGCTGTAATTCCTACAGCACTGCATGTACAGTTCTCCCTAAGGAGGCTGTACACATTTTGACTTTTTGTCTTTGTGCTATGCAGTGCTGTCTTTTCCTTTCTGTGTCGCAGTGACATGGTCTGTCAACGAACTACAGTGCAAACAGTAAATGTGAATCTTGTCCAGTCTTTTGCAATCAATCTCCCACATACACGAAGGTGTAACTCACAATTTACAATATCTGTCATCAAAACTTTAGCCACAGTTTACATCAGAGCATCCCTCTAGGATACAGTTATACTGACAACAGGACTAAACAATTTGTCTTATCCGTACACACTGACACACGGACTTGTCATTCTGATGCCACTGACATGTTCATTGACACAGATTTTTAGTTTTGAGAGATGAACTAAGGATTTTGAGCGAGTAACTGCCTTTTGCAGGTAATGCAAATACGAATTGTTCTGAGAAATGCGCGTACTGTTCTGCAAATGTCGAGGATGATTCGAGAAAGCGACTGAAAAAAACTGTAATATGTGAGGATTTAACAACATTTGACACAACATACTATTAAAACGCAGACGGTTTTTGAAAAGGTGGAATCACAACACTAATCAAAACACTCATCGATTTTCTAAATTGTTGAAGCTCGTTGTTTTGGCTTTTTCTTTTTTAAGTTATCTTTTTGCCTTTATCAGATAGGACACTTGAGAGAGACGGGAAAGCTGGGGAGGAGAGAATGAGGGAAGGACTTGCAGCAAAGGGCCATGAGCAGGATTCCAACCCATGGCCGCTGAATCTGGGACTATAGCAGGGGTGTCCAGTCCTGGTCCTGGAGGGCCACAATCCTGCATGTTTTAGATGTTTCCCTTCTTCCAACACACCTGATTCAAATGATCAGCTCATCATCACGCTCTGCAGAATCCTGATAACACTCCTGATCATTTGAATCAGGTGTGTTGGAAGAAGGAAACGTCTAAAACATGCAGGACTGTGGCCCTCCAGGACCAGGACTGGACACCCCTGCTATAGCCCCTGTACATGGGTCGCCAGCTCAACCAGGTGAGCTGAGGCGGCGGCCCGTTTTGGCTCTTCTTTACCTGAAATCTTTGCCAAAGTACTTCTGCAATGAAAAACACCAATCCGTCAGCTTCATTGATCGTATTTATTATATGACATCAGCAGATTAAAATACATGTTTATTATGTACATATATGTAACAGGGGTGTTAGATAAAGTGCCAAATACGTTTTTTTTTTGTTTATTTTTTTACAAAACCAAACAAAACAGAAAAAAAGGGATTCGTGGAAGACCATCACACCCGCTGGCCTGGTCCCACAGTTTCATTGCTTCGTGACGAGTAGCCACCTTGCCTGGAGGCTAATTTGCTCAGTGCTGGTCGTGGGACAGTTTGGCACAATCCAGGTGAATCTGTCGCAATGGGATGAATACTGGGTGTTGTTGTTGTTGTTTTTTTTTTCTTAAACATGAACCGACATCGACACGTAGAACAACCTTTTTGAGCTGCAAACGTCTCCGCTTTGAGAAAACAGTCCAGATATTATTCAGAAACGGTGTCAGAAATCCAGCATTGTTGCTTTAAGGTTAGTATGTGAGGAGGTTAAACTGTTCCTAGACCAGAGCCCAAAGGTGCACTCCTGCTCGCAGGTGGAAAGTTTTTGTAGTAAATATAAGACGACAGACTACACTTTCCAGACTTTTTTTTTTTTGCATTTTTTTTTTTCTCTTTTCTGACAAACAGAGGAAGTTGACATTCTTTTAGCAGTTGTTCTTGAGTTAATGGTCACTGTGTGTGTGATGTTATCTTCCTCAGCAACAAGACAGAGACGGTGACCGAGAGACGATGGGTGGTAGTCTATAAGAACAGGCACGCACTTATTTGCATGTACGTATTTCAGGTTTTGTTTTTTTTTTTCTTTTCTTTTTAGATTTTCAGGAGCTACAAAAGGTCGATAAAACAGGTTCCCTCCCTTTTTATTATTATTGTTATTATTATTATTATGCCCCAGTTTCTCCCCCGACGGCAGTGATGGATGTACAGACACCAGGTGAAGAAGAAGACTCGAGTCAGTCCGTCACTACCCGCTGATGAGCTCGCTGCAACAATCTGGCTGTTCGGGAAAGGAGAGGCTCTGTTTGTCCGGTGCTGTACTGTTAAGTCTTTAACGGCTGAAATTGAGCACAAACTGGCCTTCAGCTCAGAGGGTCACGTGATAAAGTGGTCAGAGCACATTATCTGGAAAAGAAGGGCTTCTGCAGCTCTTTATCATCTCCTACAGCCACACTGCTGCCCGCCGCAGCCTCTCCGGCCCTCTTTATCCCTCCTTAACCTTTCCTCGCTGACCCTGTTAATTTGTGATTTTACACCAGACTAACTCTCCTCTTCCTCTTGTATTTCTTCCTCCTCTGCTGCCGCTTCCTCCTCTGCTTCTTCCAGCTCTGCTTTTTCCTCTTCCTCCTCCACATTCTCCTCTGTTTCTCCCTCCTCCTCCTCCTCCTCTGCTTTATCTTCTATTTCTGCCTCCTCTTCTTCCACTTTCTCCTCTGCATCCTCTTGTTCTGCGTCCTCCTCTTCTTTTTCTGCCTCCTGCTCCTCTGTCTCTCCTTCTTCCACTTCTCCTTCTTTATCCCCTTCTACATCTTCTTCTACATTTTCCTGTCCATCTCCCTCCTCATTTTCTCCACCCTCCTCGCCTTCTCCTTCATCCTTGTCACCCTCTTCCTCCTCCGGCTCTTCTTCTCCTTCCTCACGTTGCTCATCCTCCTCCTCCTTCACCTCCTCATCTCCTGCTGCATCATTCGCTTCTTCCTCTTCTACTTGCTCCTCCTGATGCTGCTCCTCTTCCTGCCCCTCCTCGGCTTCCTCTCCCTCCCTTTCTCCAGCCTCCTCCTCCTCTTCTTCGTCCTGGACTCCATTGTGTTCGCTGTTGTGATTCTCCTCGTCGTCTTTCTCGGCTCCCACGTGGTTCTGCTCCTCTCCGTTCGGCTCTGGCTGGTCGTCGTCGTCGTCGTCGTCGTCGTCGCAGATGGCTCTCCGGTTGCTCCTCCTGCTGCCGCCGCCGCCGCCGCTATTCCTCAAGTGTATGTGGTTGTGGTTGTTGTGCTCCAGGTCCTCCAGGGTGAGTTCGAACTGGAAGCGGTCGTGCTGCAGGTGTCTGTCTGGGGGAGGCGAGGGGGACTGGGGCATGGTGTTCAGGTACCACTCCCTGTTCTCCTCCAGCGTGTCCAGCAGCTCCTGGGCGTCGGGGTGCACCAGGTCGGCCCACGTCTCCCACAGCGGGTGGACGATGTAGTCGATGAAACCCACCTGGAAAAGAAAAAGAGTCATCAAATACCTTGGATGTCCCATGTTAATGGATAGTGTTAAACGAGTAATATTTTGAACCGATAATCGTTCTCTTGCTCAGAGCTGATGACAAGATCAATGACTCTTATGTGTGCATGTTGTTTTGTTTTCCAAGTTATTTTTTTTGGAAAGGGGGAGAAGAACGAGGGAAGGACTTGCAGCAAAGGGCCATGAGCGGGATTCCAACCCATAGCCGCTGCATTGGGGAGTATAGCCCCTGTACATGGGTCGCCAGCTCAACCAGTTGAGCAATAGCGGCGGCCCTCTTATGTCTGTATGTGAACTAAGAAGCAACATCTGACACCACACAGGAAAACAGGCATCAGGGGTTAGCTTAGCTCAGCAGAAGCTCCATATTGTAAAACCGATCACCAGCCTTAGTCCTAAAATAAAGAAATCTACCTACCAGCACCTCTAAAGGTAACTTGTTTACAAGTTAGGCCAGTGGGTAGCATTGCTAAGGTGGAGTCCACCATGATTGATATTTAGCATATGTTGATAGTTAGCAGGGCTGCACGGTGGCTCTATGTGCATATTGTCTCTAAGCCCAGCCCTGTGATGGACTGGTGACCTGTCCAGGGTGTCTCCTGCCTTCACCCTAAGTCAGCTGGGATAGACTCCAGCCCCCCATGACCCTAGTAAGGATTCATCGAAGTATAGATAATGGATGGATGGATATTAGCAGGTTTTCTATCGCTCTGACTCCAAATGTCTCAGAAGTCCTACTTTAGGTGCACAAACTTGCACCATGGTCGTTGAATATTTTGTATAAAAACATGAAAGTGGGATTAATTCTCTCTTCTAACTCTTGCAAAGAAAGCAAATAGATGTATGTCTTTAAAAAAAGTAACGATTACTTTACAACTAAACTGGCCAGATATCCAAAAGAAAAAAAAACACAAGAAAACCATTTAACAAGCACAGAAGCTGTGACTTGTCAAATATCTGTGTCTCCGGCTCTGTGAGGATGTTTTTATCAGCACTGTTCCTGTTTATCGATGCCCGTTTTCCTGTGTGGTGTCATTTCATCATTACGAAATTTGCTACTTCCCCCATATCACACAGCTTTTGTTTAGTGTTGCTGAATAACACGCCAGCAGGGGCCTGAAAAATGATCATAAACACTTCTGACAGTCTCACCAGAAACTCAACGTTTGTAGCTTGAACGGATTCTATTTTCGGGACTGTTGGATCATACTGCATCCTGTTTCTATGATCTTGTCCAACTCCTCCAGCACCGAAGGTTTTAAAGTCGCTTGATCACGGCTCATTGTCTAATATGTGTTGTAATGTCGAATTAAGAACGACACAGTGGTTCAGAGAGAGCTCGAGCGTTACCTGACTCTTCTCTACAGACGCAGTGTGTTTGTCACACATGGCGCTGATCTCCATCCCTCTCTCTCGTTCTTTGTCACCCTGTCGAAAGAACTCCTCCATGATCCGCTCCGTCCACTGTCTGTACAGCGGTAACGGTTTGGTGGGGTTGCTCAGGTCGGCGCAGTGCACCATGTTCCTCAGTACCTACAGCGTACGAGAAAACGGCCGAGCGACCGCATGTTATATTCATTCTTTGTCGGCCTCAGCTTGCAGGGCCGTGATGCAGGTGACAGGTTACCTGTATTCGTTCTGTATAGTGGTCCAGCAGCAGCACGCCAGAACTCGTCACCTTCTTGGTCTCCACCATCGTCTTTAAATCAGCCAGCAGGGTCATGTGTTTGGACATGTCTGTGGCCAACACCTGCACACACAGACAGAAAGATCAAACTAGAAAAGATGCACCAAGATCCAAACTACTCCCTGTCCGACACTCTTATTTCTCTTAGTTTGTTTTGCTGAACTTTTGTCTTCTGCTCACAGACCAGCAGCGATCCAAAGGCTGGGTGTTTCCTGGCTAAGAATCGGCCTTTGGAGGGTGACAACACACAACGATAAACATGGCTGGTATGCAATCAGTAAAGGCAATGAGTCTGTGTTACCTTATGTGACAGAAATCTATGCATTCTCCTGTTCCTGACATTTGATAAATACCCTAATCCCAATTAACAAAATCTGCCTAAAACTTCTGAATAATGCCAAAGATTCCTCTGTGCAGGAAAAACTCTGAAATGTCTGTCAAGAATCAAAGCCACTTCTACTGATGTTGTGCCATCACGAGTTGGTCTGAAAATGAACAAATCAGAGATAGAAGAGGCTGTGAATTATGCTGAATCAGCACTGAAGTCAACTCACCTATACTTTAAAACACTGACTGCCGCTCAAGTTTTGGAAGAAATCCAGTTCTTAAATTGACCGAAATGATCAATAGGATCAGTATATTATCGTAGAGACTCGCAGTGAAGACGGGATTTATTGATTGCAATGTTGAAAAGGTTTCTGAAATATAGATTTTATTTTGCTGTAAACTTTAATTTACCTAACCTCAAGAGTGTCAACAGTGTCCTGATCAAGACGTTCACATAAAAGATCGTATTCTAAACCAGAGTGCAAACTACAGGGTGGATTTGCCTGCTGATCTCCCCTGAAAATAT